CATAATGACAAAGTGTAAACAGGTTTTAGAAATGTTTGCAAATTTAAAAAAATAAAAAACAGAAATACCTTATTTGCATAAGTATTCAGACCCTTTGCTATGAGACTCGAAATTGAGCTCAGGTGCATCCTGTTTCCATTGATCATCCTTGAGATGTTTCTACAACTTGATTGGAGTCCACCTGTGGTAAATTGTATTGATTGGACATGATTTGGAAGGCACACACCTGTCTATATAAGTTCCCAGAGTTGATAGTGCATGTCAGAGCAAAAACCAATGAGGTCGAAGGAATTGTCCATAGAGCTCCGAGACAGGATTGTGTCGAGGCACAGATCTGGGGAAGGGTACCAAAACATTTCTACAGCATTGAAGGTCCCCAAGAACTCAGTGGTCTCCATCATTCTTAAAGGGAAGAAGTTTGGAACCACCAAGACTCTTCCTAGAGCTGGCTGCCCGGCCAAACTGAGCAATCGGGGGAGAAGGGCCTTGGTCAGGGAGGTGACCAAAAACCTGATTGTCACTCTGACAGAGCTCCAGAGTTCTGTGGAGATGGGAGAACCTTCCAGAAGGAGAACTATCTCTGCAGCACTCCACCAATCAGGCCTTTATGGTAGAGTGGCCAGACAGAAGCCACTCCTCAGTAATAGGTACATGACAGCCTTCTTGGAGTTTGCCAAAAGGCACCTAAAGGACTCTCAGACCATGAGAAACAAGTGGCTTCGGGACAAGTCTCTGAATGTCCTTGAGTGGCCCAGCCAGAGCCCGGACTTGAACCCGATCAAACATCTCTGGAGAGACCTGAAAATAGCTGCGCAGCGACGCTACCCATCCAACCTGACAGAGCTTGAGAGGATCTTCAGAGAAGAATGGGAGAAACTCCCCAAATACAGGTGTGCCAAGCTTGTAGCGTCATACCCAAGAAGACTCAAGGCTATAATCGCTGCCAAAGTTTTTGCTTTGTCATTTTGGGTTAGTGTGTGTGGATTGATAAGAAAAACAAAACAATTTAATCCATTTTAGAATAAGGCTGTAACGTAACAAAACGTGGAGAAAGTGAAGGGGTCTGAATACTTTCCGAATGCACTGTACACTCAACTCGTGCATGTAAAGACACAGACATATCCCGCTCCAGCACATGGGTTTTCCCCCTCATATCTGCAGACCACATGCCTAAGGTAAGCCGATACAGCTGCCATCTGCCTATCTGCCCCTCTACACTCACTGCTGCAGACTGGCCTACTGACCCTACACACCTGTCTCTGTGTGCCCTGACTGCATGCACGCACGCACACACACACACACACACACACACACACACACACACACACACACACACACAAAGTAGAGGCCCACACATGCGCCACACACACACGTACTGTTCCACACACACACACACAAACGCACACCCACACACACAGCCCCTCCATCTGCTCAGAAACATGTTGATGAAAGACAGATGCTGTGTCCTAAAAGCCCTTGCCTCCTATTCTGTGTTTTCAGATCAGAGCAAATGGGAAACGCTGTGCTGCAGTATGAGGAAGCGCATAGCCTGTGGATTACTGTACATCACTACCACCTTCTGTTCAAGAGCGGAATTGATGATTACTCTTTCACAAAGCCAACTTGCATGTTGTTGTGATGATTATGACAGATAGGCCTAATAATCATGCGTTTATTCGTGCTAAATGCAGGGGCGCAACTTTCACTGTGGATGGGGGGGGATACAAACGAGGCAACTGCTTTGGACCATGCGGACGCCTCCGAGCGGTCGGGTAGGCTGTTTGGGGTGTTTATCTGATTGAAACAAAAAGTATAAAAATTATGTCCCCCCCACTTCTGAAACCAAAGTTGCGCCCCTGGCTAAATGTACAATGATACATTAACAAAAGTGCAAATTGAACAAAAGGTGAGTCAATTTATGGCTTTATATGTCACAGGTGACGTGCTTGAAAATATCCCTACCAACCTAGACTACATTTCACTTGAATTTTCAGAATTGCTCCACTTTCACGTTCGGTCAGCGAAGCTTTCTAGATCCGTTCTGGAACAAAACATAGGCTATTTATACTGTTCAGAAATAAACTGCATCGGCATCATTCAACTGAAATTACTTATCCGATGCCATTGCCATCATATTCTGGTTATCTTCTGGTTATATTCTTATCACTTATCAAAGTGTCAATATGACAACATGATTATATAGATTAATCTGGATTAACCTGACTTAATTTCGATGTTTTTTCAAAGACAAACAAACGAAATATATACTGAACAAAAATGTAAACGCAACATGCAACAATTTCAACAATTTTACTGAGTTACAGTTCATATAAGGAAATCAGTCAATTGAAATAAATAAATTAGGCCCTATTCTATGGATTTCACATGACTGGGCAGGGGCGCAGCCATGGATGGGCCTGGGAGAGCATAGGCCCACCCACTGAGGAGCCAGGCCCAGCCAATCAGAATGAGTTTTCCCCACAAAAGGGCTTTATTACAGACAGAAATACTCCTCAATTTCATCAGTTGTCCAAGTGGCTGGTCTCAGACGATCCCGCAGCTGAAGAAGCTAGATGTGGAGGTCCTGGGCTGGCGTGATTACACGTGGTCTGCGGTTATGAGGCCGGTTAGACATACTGCCAAATTCTCTAAAATGACGTTGGAGGCAGCTTATGGTAGATAAATTAACATTAAATTATCTGGCAACAGCTCTGGTGGACATTCCTGCAGTCAGCATGCCAATTGCACACTCCCTCAAAACTGTTGCGTGACAAAACTGCACATTTTAGAGTGGCCTTTTATTGTCCCCAGCACAAGGTACACCTGTGTAATGATCATGCTGTTTAATCAGCTTCTTGATATGCCACACCTGTCAGGTGGATGGATTATCTTGGCAAAGGATAAATGCGCACTAACAGGGATGTAAACAAATTTGTGCACAAAATTTGAGAGAAATAAGCTTTTTGTGCGTATTGAAGATTTCTGGGATCTTTTATTTCAGCTCATGAAACATGGGACCATCATTTTACATGTTGTGTTTATATTTTTGTTCAGTATATATATATATATATATATATATATATATATATATATATATATATATATATATATATATATATATATATATGATATATGTTTTACATTTTGGCGACCCCATTGCAGTTCCCCCATGACCCCGACTTTGAATACTACTATTGTAGAGCATCTCTGACACAATGACCCTCCTCCACAAGAGTCCAGACCACATTTACTCAGACCCGCAATATCTTGTTTTTTTTGTCTACACTGCTTTTGATGAGCTGTGTAAGCTGTGGTAAAGTTCCCCTTACTAGAGAGATACTTTAGTATGCTCTTTTCTTTTCTTCCTTTTTGCCCCAAAAAATGGCAGTGTTTCAATCTTGTGCATTCACATTGATCTCAATGTACCAGTGTACTCACTTTGATGAAAGCCTATATACTGAATAACAACTGTATTTATATATTTTCTCATTATAAAACCATGTATTGTTTATGAATTACAATAAATTAGACTCTGGTGTCAATCTCAGTTTATGTAGTACTAGTGATATGATAAACTAAAAGGCGTTCAGCTCATTTTGATACAACTAATTTTCTGGTGCATTGAGAAAGCTATATCAGTAGTTAGATATGGCTTATTATGTTTTTAATAAGCAGTTATACCATGCCCATTCCAAGTTGATGTTCCTATTATGAAGTACAAAATATGAAGTTGTTTGAGTATAAAAACTGGGCACTATCTGTTAAGTGTACTGTAAAAAAACAAAAGTCCACAATGATCATTCTTTCTCAAAACATTATGAATAAATTCCTTCATTGATGACGTCACTATGTTAAAATAAACAGAGCATTGTGGAGCCCTGTATTGTGACTGACTGCTGACACACACAATATATGTTATTAGTAAGTTATTAATATGTAAGATATTATGATAACTGAAAAGTATTTTAAGGCTCACACGATGACACAGACAATGTCTTTATTGAATGAATACATGATAAAAGAACAAACATAAAACACTATCCGAAAATAAATAAATCCTTTACTTAGTCCCAAAGAGATCCCCACCAGACCAGTAGGCATTTTTTACCTTGTCTCTTCATAAATTAGTGGAGCTTATACACTGTTTTTATATAATATAATAGTAATTTCTCATCTCCCAACAGTTTGTTTACATTTGGCACAGGGGGTGGAAGAGAGGGAGAAGAAGGGAGGAGAAAAGAGAAGGAGGTGAGTGGTCAAGAGGAGAGAAAGAAGAAGAGGGGAATGAAAGAGATGATGAGTGGGAAGAATAAAGGAAAGAGGATTAAAACAGAGGAAGAGAGGGATGGAGAAGATGGAGAATGAGTAGGGAGAGAGGAAAATGGAGGGCATTTGTATGGTTGAATACATTCCTCATAAAATTGATCCATTGTCAGACTGCATGGACCTATGGTCAGTCAGTGTGCATATCAATGTATCTAAAGTCTTTCATAGCAGACAGTTCATAGTGTGTCTTGATATATAAATAATATAGAGAAACTGAAGGAGGGTTCAGGGGAAGTGTATTAAGACTATCCAGTGTATGCTGGTTTAGGGATAAGGGTAGGGTTAAAGGTGTTGGGTTTAGAGTGTAGGGTATAAGTGTGCTAAGACTCAAGTGTATGCATCCAGGTTAAAACCTGACTAAAAAGCGGTGTAACCTGTAAAGCAGGTGAGGTAAGGGTAGTGTGTAGAGTATAGGGCAGGGGTATTCAACTCTTGCCCTACGAGGTCCGGAGCCTGCTGGTTTTCTTTTCTACCGGATAATTAATTGCACCCACCAGGTCGAAATCAGTCCCTGATTAGAGGGGGACAATGAAAAAACGCAGTGGAACTGGCTTCGAGGTTCAGAGTTGAGTTTGAGGGGTATTGGGCATAGGGATTATGGTATAAGTGTGTTAGGACTGTCCAGTGAATGCATCTAGGTTAAGAGCTGTATCTAGGAAGCGTTGTAACTCCACCAGGTGAGCTGCTTTGTTCCCAGTAGCTGGAGCTGCTGCTGGCCCACGACCAGCATACCTACACACACACACACACACACACACACACATACACACACAAACATGAGAAAGAAGCGAGCACACAATTAATACAAAACACAACTCACAACTGTGAGCAGGTGTGAGTGAAGAAGGGTGGGTCGTACCAAACGGGGCGGGTGCGGTCGACGGTGGTGCGGAGGCGGGGTTTGACGTAGTCATAGTAACCCTGGTTCTTGTGCTCTTCCTGGCACCACACCAGGTCAGCGTTGGGATAACGATCTGTCTCAACCTTCACCTGGTCAAACGGGAAGGGAGAGAGCTGGAGGAGAGAGAGAAGAGAGAGAGAGGGAGGAGAGAGATAGATGGAGGAGAGAGGTGAGATTGGAAGTGTGTGTTTGTGTGTGTATGCCTGAGTGTGTGCACTGTACCTGTGTGCGTGTATGCATGCGTGTGTGTATACCTGCTCTATGCGTGCAATGGCCACAGTATCGTCCATGCCTCTGTTCTTGCGTTCTCGGGTCAGTTCATAGTAGACCTTCCCAGTACAGAACACAATCCTCTTCACCCCATCTGGCTTCTCACACACAGGACCACTGTCTGGGATCAGACGCTGGAAGTGGGTACCTGAAAGACACACACACAAACACATTATAGAAACACACACATGTATGGTACACACATACATGTACACACACACACACACACACACACACACACACATTCGACTCTCATTGGTCTGATAAGCAGTATTTAAATAGTATCTGTTTTCTTTCAAATACTCGCCTGGTGCAATGGAACCAAATGGAATAGTCCCAAAAGTGCAACCCCCGCCCAGGCTCAGTCAAACGCTCAAGGCATTTGATAGAAAGCAAATACCATTTGACTCAGGTCTGGTGACAAGCAGACACTTCAGACAATCATTCTCATCCCATTCCACCAGATAACTTAGCTAAGATAGCTTTTCTACCATCTAACTTAATGACAGTACTGTATGTCAGATGTTAGAAGCAGCCATCATGACCATAGCTAGCTCCCAACCTCCTCGCCTTGCTAACCTAAATCATCCCTCATCTCTCTCCATTCCTCCCTCTCTCCCTCACCTGGCAGCATGTCGTCAAAGCTGGACTTGGCATCAGGGTGGCGCAGCAGAGACTTGGGGGTGAAGACTATCAGCTGGAAGACAGAGAAAAAGAGGAGAGATGTGGTGTGTGTGTGTGTGTGTGTGTGTGTGCATGTGTGTGTGTGCATGTGTGGCACTCACAGGCTTCCTGAAGGGCTGTAGAATTTGTCTGCGGAGGACGTGGAAGTAGTTAGCAGGTGTAGAGCAGTTGACTATGATCCAGTTACAGTCATACAGCTGACGCACAGCAAACTCCTCAGCGGAGAATTTCTATACATGAAAGAAGGGACAGGTCATACACACACACACACGCACGCGCACACACACACACACACACACACACACACACACACACACACACACACACACACACACACTTACAGGGTATGCATCCGGGTCTTCATTACACATCTGCAGGAACCTCTCTGGTCGGGCCGACGAGTGCTCTGGACCCTGAGTATAGGATCATGGGATACGTAGTTTATCAGCAATTTGTGACCACAGACAATGTTCTTCAAAGCGAAGACAGACTTATAGATAAGTGATGGGAGCAGCAGTGCTATTCTGTTCTCAGAGACTGAGGCAGACAAACAGACAGACGGGTGGACGGACACACACTCACACAGGTTTACACTCACATACTCTGCCTCACAGATGGATGGACGGACAGACAGTAGTTCCTACCATTCCTTCCATGCCATGGGGTAGCAGGAGGACTATTCCGTTCTGTCTGACCCACTTGGCCTGTCCTGGGCAGATGAACTGGTCTATGATACACTGGGCTGTGTTGTGGAAGTCTCCAAACTGGGCCTCCCACAGAACCAGAGCATTGGGACTGGCCATGGCAAAACCCAGCTCGAAACCTAGAGGGGGGGAGGAAAGGAGAGAGAGAGATGTTCAAGTCAGAAAGCATGAGGTTACTAAAAAAAACAGACAACCCCTCATAATGCTGTGGCGTGCTGTACCGTAACGAGTGCAAAATAAAAGACTGCATCTGCATGTCTGCGTACATGTACGTGTGTGTGTGTGTTTATGTGTCTGTGTACTAACCTAGTACTCCGTACTCTGACAGAGAGCTGTTACAGACAGTGTATGGAGCCTGGTTAGGAGCGATGTGGTTCATGGGAATACAGATCCTCTTATCTACATTCTGGTCATGGAGAACATGGTGTCTGTGACTGTAGAGGGGGAGATGGAGAGATGGAGAGAGAGAGAGAAGGAGAGAGAGAGAGATGTATGGGTAGAGGAAAGAGAGGAAGGGGAGAGGGAGAGGTGTGGGTAGAAGAAGCGAGAGAGAGAGATGGAGAGGGAGAGAGAGAGTAAATAAGAGTTAATACACCACCAAGAGTTAATACACCACCAAGAGTTAATACACCACCAAGAGTTAATACACCACCAAGAGTTAATACACCACCAAGAGTTAATACACCACCAAGAGTTAATACACCACCAAGATGTGACAATAACGCTCCAGTATGGCACCCAGGTCTCCCAGGTCTCCCAGGTCTCCCAACCCACCAACACAACCAACTTGAGAAGATCCAACGACGTGCAACCAAAATCATCCCACCTACACCTCCTACGACTCTGCATGCAATGACATGGGCTTGTAGTCCTTGGAGTCCCGCCGCACCCACCTCTGCAGATTCTTTGCCCAGAAGCTTGCAAAATCCCAGGATTACAACAAATGGCAGCCTCAGACGAGAGGCCATGTCAGTGGCAGATCTACCCGATCCAGTCACAAACTGAACCTTCCCCCTACTCGGACTGACAGATACTACAACAATTTACATAAGTATTATGAGACTCATAATTGAGCTCAGGTGCATCCTGTTTCTATTGATCATCCTTGAGATGTTTCTACAACTTGGTTGGAGTCCACCTGTGGTAAATTTAATTGATTTGGAAAGGCACACACCTGTCTATATAAGGTCCCACAGTTAACAGTGCATGTCAGAGCAAAAACCAAGCCATGAGGTCAAATTAATTGTTCGTAGAGCTCCGAGACAGGATTGTGTCGAGACACAGATTTGGGGAAGGGTACCAAAAAATGTCTGCAGCATTGAAGGTCACCATGAACACATAACACTCTGGATAAGAGCGTCTGCTAAATGACTAAAATTTAAAATGTAGATTTTGTTTCTTTTTTTACCCCCTTTTTCTCCCCAATTGTTAGTAACAGTCTTGTCCCATCGCTGCAACTCCCGTACGCTCGGGAGAGGCGAAGGTCGAGAGCCATGCGTCCTCCGAAACACGACTCTGCCAAGCCGCACTGCTTCTTGACACACTGCTCGCTTAACCCGGAAGCCAGCCGCACCAATTGTTTGCATGCACCCGGCCCGCCACAGTAGTCGTTAGAGCGCCCGGCCAAACCCTCCCCTAACCCGGACGACGCTGGGCCAATTGTGCGCCGCCTCATTGGTCTCTCGGTCGCGGCCGGCTGCGACACAGCCCGGGATCGAACCCAGATCTGTAGTGACGGCTTAGACCGCTGCGCCACTCGGGAGGCCCCGTGTGTAGATTGATGAGGGAAAAAAACAACTGAATCCATTTTAGAATAAGGCTGTAACGTAACAAAATGTAGAAAAAGTCAAGAGGTCTGAATCCAAATGCAATGTATATTTCATATTTTTTATAGCATTTTATTTACTTACTTATGTAGACCTACAGTATAGTATGTATGCTGCAATTCAGCTTTTAGCTGCAAATGTATACAATTCCAAATAAACCTTAAATATATATAATGACAAACAACACATAACACTGTCAAACAAGAGACTTTAGAATGACATACAGTCATAACGTTGACATAAGCTGTCGTAAGGGTGACATTACTACCTGAAGGTTCCTCTCTCCACGTCCTGTCCGCTGAGACGTATGTGTGTTCCTTCCTTGAGAAGCGAGCCAAAGGCCATGTACTCTCCTAGAGCCCAGTCACACACACGCTGGCCCACCATCGCTGCACGACCCTTTAGTATACGACTCAGACCTGACACACACACAGATATGAGGATATGTGAGCATGTACATAGGTTACGCTGTACTTGTCTTCCAGAGGTATTGTGTGTGTCCACACGTGTGTGTGTGTTTGTGTGTGTGTGGGGGTTTGTGCGCGCACTTGTGTGTTTGAGTGGATGTGCGTGGTTGTCTACCTCCGTGTATAGTGAAGTCTTCCACAGGGACAGATGAAGCGATGTGTCCTATGTGTCCCAGCTCTTCCTCAGTCAGGCCTGTAGACGGACTGGTCATACTCTTAGGCTGGCCATCCACGTTGAAGAAACCTACACACACACACACACAAACGCACACACATATTGATAAAAGATACACACTTTTAGTGTATGCTTACACATAGAGAATAAAACACACACACACATATCCACCTACAATATATTGTAAAACTTAGGTTTACACACACACACACACACACACTGACCGGGCCAGGGTGAGTCTAGCCAGTGTTTGATGTGTAAAATCTTCTCGTCTTTGGAGCGAGCATAAGCCTCCTCACAGATCTTGTCATACTTGGCTATCTCTTCCTACAGAGGGGAGAGGGTTAATATCCATTTCATGTTAAATTAAGTAATCCTCAACGACAACACCTTGCTACCTCATATCAATCAGCGGGTGCGTTCTATATAAGGACAGTCTTTTATATAAAGACAGAGGACAAAATACGATATCTAAGTACAGGTTTGTAAGGACTGTTTATGGTACATGATTTATATGGGCAGTCTATGGTGTATAGTATACACTGAGTGTACAAAATATTAAGAACACCTGCTCTTTCCATTACATAGACTGACCAGGTGAATCCAGGTGAAAGCTATGATCCCTTATTGATGTCACTTGTTAAATCCACTTCAATCAGTATAGATTAAGGGGAGGAGACAGGTTAAATAATTATTTTTAAACCTTTAGACAATTGAGACATGGATTGTGTATGTGTGCCATTCAGAAGGTGAATGGGCAAGACAAAATATTTAAGTGCCTTTGAACGGGGTATGGTAGTAGGTGCCAGGGGCACCGGTTTGTGTCAGGAACTGCAACGCTGCTGGGTTTTTCACTCTCAACAGTTTTCCGTGTGTATCAAGAATGGTCCTCCACCCAAAGGACATCCAGCCAACTTCACACAACTGTGGGAAGCATTGGAGTCAACATGGACCAGCATCCCTGTGGAACGCTTTCAACACCTTGCAGAGTCCATGCCCCGACGAATTGAGGCTGTTCTGAGGGCAAAAGGGGGGGTGCAACTCAATATTAGGAACGTGTTCCTAATGTTTGGTATACTCAGTGTATATGGCAATATATGTTACCTCGTACTCCTGTCTGGTGACAGCTCCCTCTGCTATGAGCTTCTCAGCGTATTTCTTTAGGACTCCTTTCTGCTTCTTGATCTGCTTGTACATCAGCGGCTGGGTGAACATGGGTTCGTCCATCTCATTGTGGCCATTACGCCTGTAACACACCTGTAACACACACGCTCACATACACACACATGCACGCACACACACACACACAAACAAACACACACACACACACATTAGAGGTTGTCGGCTCGTTCATGGTTATGGCATGTTACCTGCATGGGCTATATATATGGGTCTTTCTATAAACTAGGGTACCAGTGTGCATCTCTAGTAGTGTACAACTGTTTGGAGCTGTTACAATTGTATTCATGGATGCCCCCCCCCCCCCTTCAATTCGCAAGAGGCTGAATGTATCTCATCGGAGAAAGCATCCAAATGAAAGAAACAGCGCCCCCTCTGTCTCAGGATGTGTGGCCCATCTATCTGATGCTGTCTGGTCAAAAAGAGTATTACACTGTTATCGCCCGTAGCATTAAATGCACGGGAAGCCAGCGAGCATTTGTTTGATGTGCGTTTGATGTCTAGCTGTTTAGTTACATGGGGACATTATCGCACAACATCAGCTGATTCAGGAAAGGATTTTCTGAATGACAGTCAAGTGATAAAGAGCACGCGATTTAACAACAGCCAAAGTGCAGGAATCGAGGATTGATTGACAGAACATTTCGGTGTCTGTTGTTACGGTGGTAAAGATAAATAGCCCACTTCGTGGAGAACATTAAATCAAGATTACTAAGGTAAGATTACAGTCTGTGTACGTTTTGATTGTCACGGTTTCGGCCGAGGCTGCTCCTCCTCCTGGTTCGGGCAGGCTTCGGCGGTCGTCGTCCCCGGAGTACTAGCTGCCACCGATCTATGTTTTATGTTCGTTTGGTTTTGTCTTGATGTTGTACACCTGTGTCTTGTTAGTCCTCGTTAGTGTCCTATTTAGTTCTCGTTGTGTGTGTTTGTCTTTGTGTGTGATTGCTCTTCTGTTTCGTGTTGGAGCTACGTACTTCCCTCCAGTGTTTTGGAGAGGTTTTTCGCACATGTTAGTGCGCCGTTTGATTGACGCCTGTGTGCGCCGTTATTTCGCCTTCGGGCTTATTGTGCTTATTTTCTACGTGTATATTGCACTAAAGTCTTTTGGACTGAGCTTCTGCGTCCTGCGCTTGATTCATGCACCACACCCACCTTCAGCACCCCTTGACAGAATCACACACCAAAATGGAATCAGCAGGATCTGCAGTTACACCTGAGTCGCTCGAGGAGCATGTTCGCGGCCAAGATGACCAGATACGACAACTGGGGACCGCTCTACAGGACGTCATCAACACCCTGCACCGATGGGAGGCCAGCGGGGTACCCACACCTCCACCTACCCTGCCAACCCCATCGGGCGGTCCACCAGTCCCAGGTCCGGAACCCAGGGGGATTCGGCTCTCGCTCCCGAGGGCGTATGACGGAACAGCTGCCGGGTGTCAGGGGTTCCTCCTGCAGGTGGAGCTCTACCTGGCCACTGTACACCCGGTGCCCTCGGGACACGAGAGCGTTTCCGCCCTCATCTCCTGTCTCACGGGCAAGGCGTTGGAGTGGGCTAACGCCGAGTGGAGGAAGATGGACGCCAACACCATCTCCTACGCCGAGTTCTCCCGCCGCTTCAAGGCCGTGTTCGACCATCCACCTGAGGGCAAAGCGGCGGGGGAGCGTCTAGTCCACCTGAGACAGGGGAGGAGGAGCGCACAGGCGTTTGCTCTAGAGTTCCGGACTCTAGCGGCGGACGCAGGGTGGAATGAACGGGCCCTCATCGACCATTTTCGATGTAGCCTACGGGAGGACGTTCAACGTGAGTTGGCCTGCAGGGATACCCATCTCACCTTCGACCAGTTGGTCGATATGTCCATCCGTCTGGACACCCTGCTGGCCACCCGTGGACGTCCCGAGGGGGGTCCGTCCATTCCGCCCTCCGGCACCTCCGAGCCGAGCCCTATGGAGCTCGGGGGTGCCGGCACTAGAGAAAGGAGGAGGAGGAGCCCGAGGGGGCCTGTCTCCTGCACCAAGTGCGGTCGTGGAGGGCACACTGCGGCCAGGTGCTGGGGAGGGTTCTCCGGGGGAGAAGACAACAGGCCATGCACTGGGGGGGCCTCCCAGGTGAGTAGACGTCCCACTTACCCAGAGCTTTCTGTTGCGCACTTTTGTATACCTGTGTGTTTTCCACAGGTTGCACCTCATTCCCAGCATAAGGCGCTAGTAGATTCAGGCGCAGCTGAGAATTTTGTTGATCGGAAGTTTTGTTTAGATTTAGGGATCCCTCTCCTACCTGTTGACAAACCTTTTCCCGTTCATGCCTTAGATAGCCGCCCGTTGGGGTCGGGGTTGATTAGGGAGATCACAGCACCACTTAGGATGTGTGCGCAGGGGGGTCATGAAGAGACTATACAGCTGTATCTGATCGACTCTCCTGCGTACCCAGTGGTGCTGGGAATTCCCTGGTTAAGCACCCATAACCCTGCTATTTCGTGGCAACAGAGGGCTCTCGATGGGTGGTCTGCTCAGTGCGAGGGGCGATGTCTGGGTGTTTCCGTGGGGGTGACTTCGGTGGAAAGTCCAAACCAAGTGCCCGCACTGCACATTCTGCCTGAATATGGGGATTTAGCTCTCGTGTTTAGTAAAACTAGGGCGACGCAGTTGCCTCCTCATAGACAGGGGGATTGTGCGATTGATCTCCAGGCAGGAGCAGCGCTCCCACGGAGCCACGTGTATCCTTTGTCTCAAGAGGAGAGAAAAGCTATGGAGACTTACATAGCCGAATCTTTGAGACAGGGATACATTCGGCCCTCCACTTCTCCCGCCTCCTCGAGTTTCTTTTTTGTGAAGAAGAAAGATGGAGGGTTGCGCCCGTGCATTGATTACCGTGGTCTCAATCAGATTACTGTGAAATACAGTTATCCACTCCCTCTGATTGCGACCATGACAGAGTCATTGCATGGAGCGCGGTTTTTCACAAAATTGGATCTCAGGAGCGCGTATAACTTGGTGTGCATTAGGGAGGGCGACGAATGGAAGACAGCGTTTAGTACCACGTCAGGTCATTTCGAATATCTCGTCATGCCATATGGGTTGATGAATGCTCCATCAGTCTTCCAATCCTTCGTAGATGACATTTTCCGGGATATGCAGGGACAAGGGGTGGTCGTGTACATTGATGACATTCTGGTGTACTCGTCTACCCGAGCCGAGCATATAACCCTGGTGCGTCGTGTATTGAGGAGGCTGTTGGAGCACGACCTATATGTCAAGGCAGAGACATTTCTGTTTTTCCAGGAGTCGGTCTCCTTTTTGGGTTATCGGTTGTCCGCGTCAGGGGTGAGAATGGAGGTGGATCGTGTGTCCGCTGTGCGTAATTGGCAAACTCCAACCACTGTAAAAGAGGTGCAGCAGTTCTTGGGCTTTGCGAATTACTACCGGAGGTTTATCCGGGGTTTTGGACAGGTGGCAGCTCCCATCACGTCCCTTCTGAAAGGGGGTCCGGTGCGCCTGCAGTGGTCAGCTGATGCGGACAGGGCCTTTAGGAGACTGAAGGACCTGTTTACGTCGGCTCCGGTGCTGGCGCATCCGGATCCCGCATTACCCTTTCAGGTTGAGGTAGACGCGTCTGAGGCTGGTATAGGGGCCGTTCTCTCTCAACGGTCCGGCACGCCACCTAAACTCCGCCCCTGTGCTTTTTACTCAAAAAAGCTCAGCCCGGTGGAGCGTAACTATGACGTTGGGGACAGGGAGCTGTTAGCTGTAGTTCAAGCCCTTAAGGTGTGGAGGCATTGGCTTGAGGGGGCTCAACACCCTTTCCTCATTTTGACTGACCATCGGAACCTGGAGTACATCCGGGCAGCGAGGAGACTGAACCCTCGCCAGGCTAGATGGAGTATGTTTCTCACCAGGTTCGTATTTAAAATCACGTACATCCCTGGGTCCCAGAATGGTAAGGCAGATGCGCTGTCCCGGCGGTATGACACGGAGGAGAGGTCCGTTGAGCCTACTCCCATACTACCGGAGTCTTGCCTTGTGGCACCGGTGGTGTGGGAGGTCGATGCCGAAATCGAGCGAGCGTTGCGTACCGACCCCAGCCCTCCACAGTGTCCTGAGGGTCGGAAGTACGTTCCGCTCGAGATTCGGGATCGACTCATTTACTGGGCTCACACGTCACCCTCCTCTGGACATCCGGGTATTGGCCGGACAGTGCATTGCCTTAGCACTAAATACTGGTGGCCCACTTTGGCTAGGGATGTGAGGGTTTATGTCTCCTCCTGCTCGGTGTGCGCCCAGTGTAAGGCGCCCCGACATCTGCCCAGGGGTAAGTTACAACCCCTGCCCGTTCCACAACGACCATGGTCCCACCTCTCGGTGGATTTTGTGACAGACCTTCCCCTCTCTCAGGGGAATACCACCATCCTGGTCGTTGTGGACCGGTTCTCTAAGGCCTGTCGTCTTCTCCCTATGTCGGGTCTTCCTACTGCCCTACGTACCGCTGAGGCCCTATTTACCCACGTCTTCCGGCATTACGGGGTACCCGAGGATATAGTGTCTGATCGAGGCCCCCAGTTTACCTCCCGTGTTTGGAGAGCGTTCATGGAGCGTTTGGGGGTCTCGGTTAGCCTTACCTCAGGGTACCACCCGGAGAGTAACGGGCAGGTAGAACGTGTCAACCAGGATGTGGGTAGGTTTCTGAGGTCGTATTGCAAGGGCCGGCCGGAGGAGTGGGCACGGTACATTCCCTGGGCCGAGATGGCCCAGAACTCTCTCCGCCACTCCTCTACCAACCTAACCCCCTTCCAATGTGTGTTAGGTTACCAGCCGATTCTGGCACCTTGGCAGCAGAGCCAGATCGAGGCCCCTGCGGTGGATGATTGGATGAGGCGCTCGGAAGAGACGTGGAACGCTGCCCACGTCCACCTGCAGCGGGCCGTCCTTCGTCACAAGGCGAGCGCCGATCTCCACCGCAGTGAGGGGCCGGTGTACGCACCCGGAGATCGAGTCTGGCTCTCTACCAGAAACCTACCCCTCCGCCTGCCCTGCCGGAAGCTGGGTCGGCGGTTTGTGGGGCCCTTTAAAGTCCTGAGAAGATTGAACGAGGTGTGTTATAGGTTACATCTACCTGTTGAGTATAAGAATATTAACCCCTCGTTCCATGTGTCTCTTCTCAGGCCGGTGGTAGCTGGTCCACTCCAGGACAATGAGATAGGGGAGACTCCTCCGCCCCCACTGGACATCGAGGGGGCTCCGGCGTACACCGTTCGGTCCATCTTGGACTCAAGACGCCGGATGGGGGGTCTCCAGTATCTCGTGGAGTGGGAGGGGTACGGCCCGGAGGAGCGGTGCTGGGTGCCGCGGAGGGACATCCTAGACCCATCTCTCCTGTCGGAGTTCCACCAGGACCATCCCGCGCGCCCTGCTCCGCGTCCTCCTGGTCGTCCCCGAGGCCGGGGTCGGCGCACGGCTGGAGCCGCGCGTCAAGGGGTGGGGGTACTGTCACGGTTTCGGCCGAGGCTGCTCCTCCTCCTGGTTCGGGCAGGCTACGGCGGTCGTCGTCCCCGGAGTACTAGCTGCCACCGATCTATGTTTCATGTTCGTTTGGTTTTGTCTTGATGTTGTACACCTGTGTCTTGTTAGTCCTCGTTAGTGTCCTATTTAGTTCTCGTTGTGTGTGTTTGTCTTTGTGTGTGATTGCTCTTCTGTTTCGTGTTGGAGCTACGTACTTCCCTCCAGTGTTTTGGAGAGGTTTTTCGCACATGTTAGTGCGCCGTTTGATTGACGCCTGTGTGCGCCGTTATTTCGCCTTCGGGCTTTTTGTGCTTATTTTCGACGTGTATATTGCACTAAAGTCTTTTGGACTGAGCTTCTGCATCCTGCGCTTGATTCATGCACCACACCCACCTTCAGCACCCCTTGACATTGATCGTTTGTTTTCCGAGTTAAAACGGAGCAAGCGGCAACGTTAAAACGGCTTGTTTATTCGTTTTTGAATAGAAACAGAAAAATATGAAAATTGCTTGTTCTTTTCATTTTCGCATATAAAACCAAAAAACTATTTGCTATTTCGATGTTCAAATGTGGCTGGGGTTAAATGTGGAATGCCTGGTCAAGTGCACAGCCAAAACATCCTGTCCTTTCAAAGTACGAGGTCACTCTTCTAACTCCATTCTATAAATCTATTATCTATTAATTAATTGATTAATAGCTGCCCATACCATGCCACAGTGCCAAGATAAAGTACGATTTCTACATTTCTGCATAAAATGTTGTGTGTATTGACTTATTAATGAACTGCTGTTACTGTAAATAGTTAGCTGACTGATATATCCTAGCTACCTAGCTAATCATTGGTAATCTTATTAAATGATGCTATACAGCCAAAACAACAGTATCTATTGCTAGACTAGAGATATGCCCTAGATATATAGTTAGTCAGTGGTTGCACATCTAACTAGCTGGAATGAAGGAAGGGTTTGAATAGCAGACATGTAAATATATCCTGTTTACAGCAGGTCTCCAGCTGCCCAGACCTGTCTGATCAGCCTGATAGGTCCCGTGAGTGTGTCCAGCTTACACCTGTGAAAATCTGTGTGTGTATACAGTGGGGGAAAAAGTATTTAGTCAGCCACCAATTGTGCAAGTTCTCCCAATTAAAAAGATGAGAGAGGCCTGTAATTTACATCATAGGTACACGTCAACTATGACAGACAAAATGAGAAAGAAAAATCCAGAAAATCACATTGTAGGATTTTCTATGAATTTATTTGCAAATTATGGTGGAAAATAAGTATTTGGTCAATAACAAAAGTTTCTCAATACTTTGTTATATACCCTTTGTTGGCAATGACACAGGTCAAACGTTTTCTGTAAGTCTTCACAAGGTTTTCACACACTGTTGCTGGTATTTTGGCCCATTCCTCCATGCAGATCTCCTCTAGAGCAGTGATGTTTTGGGGCTGTCGCTGGGCAACACGGACTTTCAACTCCCTCCAAATATTTTCTATGGGGTTGAGATCTGGAGACTGGCTAGGCCACTCCAGGACCTTGAAATGCTTCTTACGAAGCCACTCCTTCGTTGCCCGGGCGGTGTGTTTGGGATCATTGTCATGCTGAAAGACCCAGCCACGTTTCATCTTCAATGCCCTTGCTGATGGAAGGAGGTTTTCACTCAAAATCTCACGATACATGGCCCCATTCATTCTTTCCTTTAGACAGATCAGTCGTCCTGGTCCCTTTGCAGAAAAACAGCCCCAAAGCATGATGTTTCCACCCCCATGCTTCACAGTAGGTATGGTGTTCTTTGGATGCAACTCAGCATTCTTTGTCCTCCAAACACGACGAGTTGAGTTTTTACCAAAAAGTTCTATTTTGGTTTCATCTGACCATATGACATTCTCCCAATCCTCTTCTGAATCATCCAAATGCACTCTAGCAAACTTCAGACGGGCCTGGACATGTACTGGCTTAAGCAGGGGGACACGTCTGGCACTGCAGGATTTGAGTCACTGGCGGCGTAGTGTGTTACTGATGGTAGGCTTTGTTACTTTGGTCCCAGCTTTCTGCAGGTCATTCACTAGGTCCCCCCGTGTGGTTCTGTGATTTTTGCTCACCGATCTTGTGATCATTTTGACCCCACGGGGTGAGATCTTGCGTGGAGCCACAGATCGAGGGAGATTATCAGTGGTCTTGTATGTCTTCCATTTCCTAATAATTGCTCCCACAGTTGATTTCTTCAAACCAAGCTGCTTACCTATTGCAGATTCAGTCTTCCCAGCCTGGTGCAGGTCTACAATTTTGTTTCTGGTGTCCTTAGACAGCTCTTTGGTCTTGGCCATAGTGGAGTTTGGAGTGTGACTGTTTGAGGTTGTGGACAGGTGTCTTTTATACTGATAACAAGTTCAAACAGGTGCCATTAATACAGGTAACAAGTGGAGGACAGAGGAGCCTCTTAAAGAAGAAGTTACAGGTCTGTGAGAGCCAGAAATCTTGCTTGTTTGTAGGTGACCAAATACTTATTTTCCACCATAATTTGCAAATAAATTCATAAAAAATCCTACAATGTGATTTTCTGGAAAAATAAATCTCAATTTGTCTGTCATAGTTGACGTGTACCTATGATGAAAATTACAGGCCTCTCTCATCTTTTTAAGTGGGAGAACTTGCACAATTGGTGGCTGACTAAATACTTTTTTTCCCCACTGTAGCAATGGAATTAAACATCCAACCAATGCCTCAAGTGTTGTGCTCTAGGTCCACCACACACCCAAAGTGTTGTGGGGTCCTGTCCAGAAACAACCCCTAGCCCTACCCCTAGACACTTGTGGAGATCTGAGAGAATTGAACAGGTGTAAGCAATACCACCAAAATTCCACCAAGCCTATCAGAGGTTAAGGTGGAGTTCTCACCATGTTACTACCCATCAGTCCCTCACAGATCTCCACAAGTGTCTAGACTCTGGGCAGTAGGGGATGCGGGTTGTTCCTGGACAGGCCATGGGTATTATGGTAGCTCAGTCAGTCAGTCAGTCAGTCTGGCACTGTCAAAAAATGTTAATAGCTGTCAAATACTTGCTTCCTCCGTCTTTGGGAGAATTTCTATTGCATTTCCTTGATTTGTTATATGAGAAGGTCAGAGGTCCCTTCCCTGTCACCTTCTTATTCAATGGGTTTTGAGAAGGAGGCAAGGGGAGAGGACGTGAGGAATGACGAGGGCGTGAGGAATGAAGGAAATGCAATTGAGATTCTCCCCTTGTTTCCTCCATTCCTCACCTCCCTCTCAAAGCACATTGTGGGAGAGGAGGGAAGGTTCCTCCCCTTGGGCTCCAATGCACTTTCAAGGTGGTGCAAGGAGAGGAGGAAACAAGGACAGGGGAAGCAAGAATGTGATGTCTAGTTTTCACACACACAGACGCACACACACACACACCCACACACACACACACACACACACTACTTGAAGAGTTTACTGATTATAATGATTTCATTATTGGTTATTATTATTGTCAATTATGACAGAGGCCATTGTATTATATTATTGTACTAAATTATTATATAAACTATAAAAAAATACAGAAATGCTTTTAAAAATCTTTTTCATTCTTCTGGAAGGTTTAGCATGGCTATAAATGATAGAGAAGTTGACTACAGTACAAACAGACCTGGCTACTAGGCATGACAAAGAAACATGCAGTATCCATGCAGTATCCATGTTTCATGTGACATTTTGAATGACATGTAGATGTTTTGTTGTTGCTAGGAGTTATGGTCTCATTGTGTCTATCTAGACTCTTCTTCCTGTTAGTACCCATGTGAAGATGCAAGAAAATCATTTTTAAATGTACATCAAACCATTTATTTGTTTTGACCCTGATGTCACACATTGGTCCCTTTATTTATAGAGAGACCCATATACATATGCTGACTGTTCGGTAAGTCACTAAAGGTGGCTGCTTGATAACCCTATTATAATGATCATCTCATTATGACCATTACAAATACCTGATCAGGAAACACACACACACACGTTTCTTATTGGACAAGTAGTCCGTTTCAGTCCGTTCTCCTCCGTTTCATGCCTAATGAACACCACCCTGGTCAGGAAACACACACTCACCAGGTCGACGACCACGTCCTTGTGAAAGGTGGCCCTCCACTCGGCGGCGACATTACACACGTACATGACAGCCTCGGGGTCGTCAGCGTTGACATGGAAGATGGGGGCGTTGACCACCTTGGCCACGTCTGTAGGGTAAGAGGATGATCTCGCCACCCTAGGGTCGGTGGTGAAACCAATCTACAGGGAGGGAGAGAGAAAAGAGGGAAGCTAAATTAAGGGAAGGGTGTGTGTGTGTGTGTGTGTGTGTGCGTGCGTGCGTGCATGTGTTACCTGGTTGTTGACCACCACATGGATAGTGCCATGTGTGGTGTAGGAGGGCAGGTCAGAGAGGTGGAAGGTCTCATAGACAACCCCCTGGCCTGCAAAAGCTGCATCACCATGGAGTAGGATGGACATTACCTGGAAATACACACAAACAGAAATATAAATACACACACACACACACACAAAAACATACATATACATACACAGTCTGTCTGCCTGTGAGTGTGTGTACTTACCCTGTTGCCTTCTGTGTCCCCGCAGTAGAACTGCTCAGCTTTGGTCTTGCCCTGCACCACGGGGTCCACAGCCTCCAGGTGGGAGGGGTTAGCCATGAGTGACAGTGTGATGTTCCTATCAGTGACCCGGTTGATCCTCCGGTGCCACATCCCCAAGTGGTACTTCACATCTCCAGAACCCTGAGGGGGGGAGAGAGAGAGGAGGGGGAGAAAACAAGGGCAAATGAATTGCATGAGTACAACTTCTTCATTTTCTTTAGGTTCTGATATGGAAGACTTTTTCCATGTTAATCACTTTCCATATTGTATTACCAGGGTCGTGATCTTTAGGGCACGCAACGGACAGCATTTTAAAATATTTTGCAACAGAATACGAAAATCAGTGTTTCTTATTGGACAAGTCCAGGTAGTCCCTCCCTGCTTCAGTTATTTATTTCCCCTTTTGGTAGTTAATGAACAGGACCATGCTCTCTGCTAGTTGTAGGATGTACCTCATCAGCAGCCTCGAGCTTGGAGTCAAACTGACAGAAGATCTGATCCAGCTCCTTACGGATCACATTGGCCAACACATTCAATCTCCCCCTGGAGAGACAGAAAGAGAAAGAGAGAGAGAGAAGGGTGGAGAGAGGGAGAACAACTTTCAGCTACCCTACGCATGGGGCAGTTTGTGATTGGTGTGTATGTGGTAACAGTACCTGTGGGGCGGCCTATGATTGGTGTTTCGATGGACCCGCTGCCTGTGGGGCAGCCTGTGATTGGTGTTTCTGTGGTAACAGTACCTGTGGGGCATGCCCATGATGATGCTCTCCACTCCGTTCATGCTGGACTTGTCGATGATGGTCTTCAGGGCTGGGATGAGAGACTCACAGCCCTCAAGGCCAAAACGCTTCTCTGATGACCATTTCCTCTGCAGGAACTCCTCAAACCTTGCCAACAGGAAACAGGAAGTTAAACAGGAGGTTTAACATATGTCGCCCAGTCCAGAAATCACCCCTATTCCCAATTCCAAATCGCCCTTTCGCTCTATGCATTTGTGGAGATGTGAGAGGATTTGATAGGTGTCCGTGTTACAGAACCGATTAGACAACCTTCTGTTACACTATACTCACTTTGTCTAGGGGACCTAGGCTTGCCTAATTGTTCTGTGACCTGACTAGGTGTGTGCTTTAACGTGAAAGTAGGAGTGTCCGGACCGTGTTGTATGTACATGTACCCAGGAGACAGCAATCTTACCGTGTTCAGGGCCAGCTCCGTCTTGACCTCTTGGTTGGCCAGTTCAAGCAGGTTATTCATATGTTCAAAATAAATATGTACAAAAAACAACCTACAAAAAGGCATGCCCAACTACAGAGGTTAACTAACACAAAGAAACAAACAGAGGCCGTCTGAGAGGCTTCGGGCCTCCTCTCTCTCCCGCACTGACAAACCACCTGATTGCTAACACTTGAGTAATTATCAAGGCTTTCGTGAACTAACACTCACACTTGACCTTTCCCCCCCTTACTAGCTCTGACTTTGCTGATAGCTACTTTATTGAGGATAAATGTACTTACTGTGACAGTGATATGTGGTTGTCCCACCTAGCTGTCTTAAGATGAATGCACTAACTGTAAGTCGCTCTGGATAAGTGCGTCTGCTAAATGACTAAAATGTCAAATGTAAGGCTTCCTGGCAGAGCACATCATCTAAACCGGTTGCTGCTGCCCCCTGTCAATGAGGTGTTGAAGTGTAGTATGTTGTCCATCTATGTGCCTCACACTAAACATATCATAACATAAGCAATATGGTAATAGCAATATGCTTATGCAATAAACTGGGGGAGCATTCAACAGCGTAGAGGAATTCCTTTTCTTCTATGTGACATTTTTTGTAACCTGCACAATTGGTAAATATGCACACACTTGTTTTTTTAATGTGAAATCGGTGTACAGACAGACCTGGTGGATCGAACCATTCTGGCTAGAAGGGTCCTCTTCTCCTCCAGGGTGAACTGCATGATGCCTGGCCTCTCAAACTTCTGTCTGATCCACTGGCACTGCTCCAGGTCATTAATGAACATGAACTCTACTCCGATAGACTGACAGTACGCCATCTACAGGAGAGGAGAGGTCAGTGTGTGTGCGCGTGTGTGTGTGCATGTGTGTGTTGAGTTTTTTGTAAGCAGTGAGTGTGTGCAATGCGGCGGATCTACCTCGAGGCGCTGTATGATCTCTCGGAGGGGCAGAGCGCTCTCGCTGCCACCTATAAAAGTGGTGGTGGGGAGCCGGAAAACCTTGTCCAGGTCGGACTCATCCAGACCATAGAACTCTGCCATCGTTACCATGGAGACGAACGGACCGGGGGGGTAAAGAAACATAATAGACAAATGGAGAGAGGAAGAGGTGATCAGAGAGTTAGAGAAAGAGAGAGAGAGAGATGGAGAAAAGCAGAAAGAGAGGGAATTAGTGGGAGAGAGAGGGGGGCATAGAGAAGGAAGGCTAATTTAAACATCAAAACGACATGATATCTAGAGAAACCCACTCTATATTTGAATACCTAAGTTATACAGACATCCAAAAAAGCACAACATTGATTGATTAGTTTGATGGCCACAAGCAGGGTTATTGCATTACACGAGATAGACGGGAGGGACAAAGCACATGAGAGAGAAAGAGGTAGAGCGAGAGAAAGAGAAAGAGAAACAGAGCAAGAGGTGATGGTGATGGTGAAATAACAATGTCAGCAGTAAGCTGAAGAGGGGTGGTGGGGAGGGATGGAGGGGTGACAAAAACAATGTCAGTCTACTCATTCTAGAATACTTGATTCTAGAAATTATATTCTACAGTGGTATGGCAACAGGAGAGAGGGTTGAATTATTTTCTGGAATGTAGGGGTAAGTGATGATGCATATACAAAATGGTAGCAGGCAGTGCGTGAACGTGAAAGGCTGTCACAGAGTCAGCAGAGTCCCAGCAGCTTTATATTACAGTGCCTTCAGAAAGTATTCACACCCCTTTACTTTTTCCACATTTTGTTGTATTACAGCCTGAATTTAAAATAGATTGCAATTTTGTGTCACTGGCCTACACACAATTCCCCGTAATGTCAAAGTGGAATTATGTTTTAAAAAATGTTTACAAATTGTGACTCGTTTCAGGAAACTAGGTGTATGCCGCGCATCACTACTTCACATGAGAGGCATTTGAACGTAAACATCAATTTTTTATCAAAATGCATTTTTTGGCAAGAATGCCTTCTGGAACATGTGAACTTTCATGTGCCCTAATAACAAACTTGTATGCCATCTGTAAATATGAATACAACTGTTAAATTACGAGCCTAGTTAGTTTAGCCACGAAAAAAGACAGGAACCTTCCCGCTAGCCATGATTGGCTAAGATAATGGATGGGCTGGACATGCCGAGAGATGGGTTCGGATTGGTCTGCCATGTAGCACGCTTCTGTCTATAACATGAGCTGCTCAGTATGTGTAGGTAATCCTTTCTAAAGCTGATTTTTTAAAGAATATCACAAAGAATTGCAAAAGTGTTGCTAATGCTCTCCACTTTCTGGAGGACCAAGTTTTGAAATCAGTGGAATGTCCGGTGGAAGCAGAGTATGATAGCTAAGGAGATGGAGAACATTCTGGCGTTTGATTGCAAATATGCAGAGGGAGTCAAACAGAAGAAGGCTGTTGTATAAAGCACCTGTCTCCGGATTACATCTTCAAATTAAGGGCAACCATGGCATCCGTGACAGAGAGGGAGAAGTGCTCATCCATGTATACGGGAAATAGAGTCTAGCTAGCTACGTTTTCGGATATTATACATTTCTAATTTTGTCAGAAAGTTGTTTTCATTGCAAGTTAAAGCGTACTGTTAGTTAGCTAGTTAACGTTAGCTTGCTGGCTTGCTAGCTAATGTTACGTGTATGATCTGTGTAGCAATATTATTCGTATCTCAGAGCCATTTGCATTGCTAGTTATAGCCTAATGTTAGCTAGCTAGCTAAGATTGAACCTAGTTGGTTAGCTTTAGCTACCTGCAGATTCGTGCAGGGTAGTAATGTTATCAGTTGGGATTATGGTTAATTGTTTATTTAGCTAGCTACATGTCTAAACAAAAGACTCATAACCATTTCACTGTAGCATTTACACCTTCTGTATCCTGTGCATGTGACAAATAAACTTTGATTTTATTTGATATAGTGTGTGTTTACCAGAGACATTAATGTGAAGAACAATATGACCTGCACCAAAGTCAAATTAGGATATAACGTTAGGCCAAAGAGACAGTGTCCAAGTTCTAAAATTCTCCAGTAGAACGCCCTGCTTTTATTTCATCACACTCACAACCATAAGCTATTTTCTGTAATTAGCTCGCCATTAACTTGTAAGTAATGATCTTGTTGTGAGTTTATTTTCCTGTAATAATGAATACAATGAATACGTTGTCAGCTATATGATATGCTCATTATTTGAACAGGCTAGCCAGCTAACTTAACGTTAACTTAGTCTTGAAATCTTTGGTTATTTAGCACACTACCATCGTACTCACTCTGTTTTGCACATGGCGTCACATGTGAATCCTTAAAGAGATGGGTGGGGCTAAGGCTTAAGAGGGTGTGAATGATGCTGAATGGGTGGACAAAAAAGAGCTCTCCATTAGGTATACCAAAACATTCAAGGGCCATTTTCTCAAAAGTGGGGTTACAAGTTTATCAATTTTCAAAGCAGAATTACTTTCCCATTGTCCCTCAACTGTAGTATATGATATACCATGTTCTAGCTCTGAGTCTCTACTTTTATCCAATGTAAAAAACACAATTTCAAATTTTGCTACATAAGATCAAATCGAGCCGGTCTGTCAAAATTATTAAAAAATTGAAAAGCTGAAATGTCTTGAGTCAATAAGTATTCAACCCCTTTGTTATGGCAAGCCTAAATAGGTTCAGGAGTAAACATGTTCTTAACAAGTCACATAATAAGTTGCAGGACTGTGTGCAGTAATAGTGTTTAACATGATTTTTGAATGACTACCTCATCTCTGTACCCCACACATACAATTATCTGTAAGGTCCCTCAGTCGAGCAATGAATTTCAAACAAAGATTCAACCACAGACCAGGGTGGTTTTCCAATGCCTCGCAAAGAAGGGCACCTCTATTGGTAGATGGGTAGAAATAAAAAAAGCAGACATTGAATATCCCTTTGAGCATGGTGAACTTATTAATTACACTTTGGATGGTGTATCAATACATCCAGTGTCAGAAAGGAACCGATGTGGATGTGGTGGAGGAGTCAGGCGCAGGACACAGAGGTTTAGTCCAACAAACTTTACTCGTACAAAGTAATAAATATCCAAAACACGACCTCGAAAAACAGAGGCGAGGGAAGTGCGCAAACATGCGAAAAACAAAACAAACAGAGCGCAAAATACGCAGCTCCAAACGACACGCAGACAACAACACACAATCTAACTAACACAAAACACGGAACTTATAGGACACGTAATTAGGACACAACCAGACACAGGTGTACTAGACAGACCAAAGCAATCAACACACGAAACATACAACGGTGGCAGCTAGTATTCCGGGGACGGCGAACGCCGAAGCCTGCCCGAACCAGGAGGAGGAGCAGTCTCGGCCGAAACCGTGACATCCAGTCACTACATACAGCGTTTCCCAAACTTGGTCCAAGGGGTGCACGTTTAGTTTTTTGCCATAACACTACACAGCTGATGAAAATTATCAAAGCTTGATGATAAGTTGATTATTTGAATCAGCTGTGTAGTACTAGGGCAAAAACCAAAAATATGCACCCCTTGGGGTCACGAGGACCGAGTTTGAGAAACCCTGCACAAACCCAACGCCTGTATCTTTGTAGTGCAAAGTTTCCCAAACTCCAACTCAGTTGCCGGAGAGGAAGGAAACTGCTCAGGGTCACAAAAAATCACTAAGTACCACTCTCGGAGACAAATTCACCTTTCAGCAGGTCAATAACCGAAAACACAAGGCCAAATATACACTGGAGTAGCTTACCAAGACGTCATTGAATGTTCCTGAGTGGCGTAGTTACAGTTTTGACTTAAATCAGCTGCGTAGCAATGATCTACAACTAACTTGACAGACCTTGAAGAATGTAAAAAAAAAGAATGTGCATATTTTGCACAATACAGGTGTGAAAGCTCTTAGAGACTTACCCAGAAAGACTTAGTGCTGTAATCGCTGCCAAAGGTGATTATAACATGTATTGACTCAGGGGGTTGAATACTTATGTATGTAATGAAGATATATTAGTGTTTTATTTTTTGTAATTTTCTTTACAAATGTTAGAATTTTTCTTTCACTTTAACATTACAGATTATTTTGTGTAGATCGTTGTCACGGATACAGCTGAGGCTGCCCCTCCTTCTTGCTCGGGCAGGCTTCGGCGTTCGTCGTCACCAGAGTACTAGCTGCCACCGATTGATGTTTCTGTGTCACACTAGTCCTGTCTTTATTATTCACACCTGTTACTCATTAGGCTTATTGGTTTCCCTATACAGTGGGGAAAAAAAGTATTTAGTCAGCCACCAATTGTGCAAGTTCTCCCACTTAAAAAGATGAGAGAGGCCTGTAATTTTCATCATAGGTACACATCAATTATGACAAACAAATTGAGAATTTATTTTCCAGAAAATCACATTGTAGGATTTTTAAGGAATTTATTTGCAAATTATGGTGGAAAATAAGTATTTGGTCACCTACAAACAAGCAAGATTTCTGGCTCTCACAGACCTGTAACTTCTTCTTTAAGAGGCTCCTCTGTCCTCCACTCGTTACCTGTATTAATGGCACCTGTTTGAACTTGTTATCAGTATAAAAGACACCTGTCCACAACCTCAAACAGTCACACTCCAAACTCCACTATGGCCAAGACCAAAGAGCTGTCAAAGGACACCAGAAACAAAATTGTAGACCTGCACCAGGCTGGGAAGACTGAATCTGCAATAGGTAAGCAGCTTGGTTTGAAGAAATCAACTGTGGGAGCAATTATTAGGAAATGGAAGACATACAAGACAACTGATAATCTCCCTCGATCTGGGGCTCCACGCAAGATCTCACCCCATGGGGTCAAAATGATCACAAGAACGGTGAGCAAAAATCCCAGAACCACACAGGGGGACCTAGTGAATGACCTGCAGAGAGCTGGGACCAAAGTAACAAAGCCTACCATCAGTAACACACTACGCCGCCAGGGGCTCAAATCCTGCAGTGCCAGACGTGTCCCCCTGCTTAAGCCAGTACATGTCCAGGCCCATCTGAAGTCTGCTAGAGTGCATTTGGATGATCCAGAAGAGGATTGGGAGAATGTCATATGGTCAGATGAAACCAAAATATAACTTTTTGGTAAAAACTCAACTCGTCGTGTTTGGAGGACAAAGAATGCTGAGTTGCATCCAAAGAACACCATACCTACTGTGAAGCATGGGGGTGGAAACATCATGCTTTGGGGCTGTTTTTCTGCAAAGGGACCAGGACGACTGATCCGTGTAAAGGAAAGAATGAATGGGGCCACGTTTCGTGAGATTTCGAGTGAAAACCTCCTTCCCTCAGCAAGGGCATTGAAGATGAAACGTGGCTGGGTCTTTCAGCATGACAATGATCCCAAACACACCGCCCGGGCAACGAAGGAGTGGCTTCGTAAGAAGCATTTCAAGGTCCTGGAGTGGCCTAGCCAGTCTCCAGATCTCAACCCCATAGAAAATCTTTGGAGGGAGTTGAAAGTCTGTGTTGCCCAGCGACAGCCCCAAAACATCACTGCTCTAGAGGAGATCTGCATGGAGGAATGGGCCAAAATACCAGCAACAGTGTGTGAAAACCTTGTGAAGACTTACAGAAAATATTTGATCTGTGTCATTGCCAACAAAGGGTATATAACAAAGTATTGAGAAACTTTTGTTATTGACCAAATACTTATTTTCCACCATAATTTGCAAATAAATTCATTAAAAATCCTACAATGTGATTTTCTGGATTTTTTTTTCTAATTTTGTCTGTCATAGTTGACGTGTACCTATGATGAAAATTACAGGCCTCTCTCATCTTTTTAAGTGGGAGAACTTGCACAATTGGTGGCTGACTAAATACTTTTTTCCCCCACTGTATTACCTCTGTTTTCCCTCCTGGGTTTGTGCGTGATTGTTCGTTGTTACGTCGTCTGTTGAGCTGTTGTTTTGCTCTTCCCTGCGTGGAGGGTTTGCTATGGTTTACTTTGTGTTTAGTAAAGCCATACTTTTCTCAGTTCTGTGTCCTGCGCCTGATTCCGTTTCACTACTTCACCCAGACGTTGACAATCATTGACAAAAAATTACAATTAAATCCATTTGAATCCCACCTTGTAACACAACAAAATGTGGAAAAAGTCAAGGGGTGTGAATACTTTCTGAAGGCACTGTACATGTGTTTTTTATTGAAAGTTTCCATTGCCATATGTTATGCTTGAGTCTGTATAACCTAGGAGCATCGGTAGCATCAGTGCTGCACTGATGATCTAAACAGCTGTTTCTGTTATGTTAAAGTAACTGTCCAGTGTTTCCAGATTTCTAAGAAAAATGAACTAGAATTAATTACAATATGATTGAAATAGTTTTCCTTCCAAACAATTGTAAGTATGTTAAAAAGCAGCATTTAGGTGTTTGAATGGTGTGGGCGTACCACGTACACCTAACAACAGAATGGTGTAGGCATATACCCGTCATTAAAAATATTCATGCGAGTAGACCGTTGATTGGCCAGCTCAGCCAATGAGCCAACATGACATCATGTTCTATTAGGAAATAGCAAGTATTTTTGAAACAGTCTGTTTGAGATACAAGTTTGAGGTGTTTTTTATAAAATGTATTTTTATTATTTATGCTTTGGCCACAAATACGAGTATAGGACGAGTCAACAACATTATTTGGTTATGAGTTAACAGAATATGAACTTTTAGAAGATAGATTTTTACTGGACAGTTACTTTAACAGAAAGACTATAGGTCAAAGTCTATACTTTTAGCCAATACATTTATAATATGCTTTTTATTACAGAAGGAATCTTAGGTGTGTGTGTGATCTCCCTGTAGGTGTATGAGTAACAGTCCTGATATGGATGGAGTACATAAACCAACAGGGCAGCGTTCTCTAACACTTGTTTTACTAGAGACTGGGGGGAATCCAGCCAAGCAGATAAACTCTTAATGAAATCTAATCAAGTTAAAGAGTTGAGGCAGCCGGAGAGACATGTCTACACAGGCCTCTCACTGACCCTGAGAACACACATTTCCATTTTAGTCATTTAGAAGACGCTCTTATCCAGAGTGACTTAAAGGAGCAATTAGGGTTAAGTGCCTTGCACAAGGGCACATCAAGAGATTTTTCACCTAGTTGGCTCGGAGATTCGAAGCAGCAACCTTTCGATTACTGGGCCAACGCTTTTAACCGCTAGGATACCTGCCACACACACACACACACACACACACACACACACACACACACACACACACACACACACACACACACACAGACACAGACACAGACACACACACACACACACACACACACACACACACACACACACACACACACACACACACACACACACACACACACACACACACACACACACACACACACACAACTCTACTTCTACAATAAACTGCCCACAGAGCAACCCAGAGATAAAAGAAGAGTTAGAACTAGGGAACTATCCTACCATCACTCATCAGTGGGACTAGGGAAACATCACCTGAATGCTACAGAGAAATCCTTAGGTCCAGTTCCAAACCAATACTGTGACCTGATCCCTAGACCCTTGCTTCTCCATCTGAGAGCGTAGTCTTAGGGGCATAGACAACAAATACGTAGAGACAGGGGCATGGTGTCGATTTGGAATCAGGCCGCAGCAGCAGCGGAGCTGTAGCAGAGCTAAAAAGGAAGTAGAGGATCCTGGGTATTGTAGTCTAGGGGCTGTGTCCATACCTTCAGCAGTGAGATCATACAGACGCTCTTTATACCCAGAGAGGTCTGGGGGACACAGAGAGAGACACACACATATGGGTTAGTGAAACGTACACACGAACAGGTTGGTGACGCACACATGCACACAAACACGCACACACATTCTGGTGCACACCCATAGATGTCTCTCAAACCCACACACAAACCCGGATATTGCTTCATATAGCCTAGCATTCCTCAAAGTTGTTGAGGGCCCTGTTGACATCAGCTAAAAGTGACAGCCAGTCAGTCAGCTAGTCAGACACACTACTGAAGCTCAACAATACTCATTTGAGACACACAGAACCAAAGGATAACCCTTTGAAGAACCCTTTTCGGTTCCAGGTAGAACCCTGTTGAGATCCATGTAGAACTCTTTACACAGAGGGTTCTACATGGAACCCAAAAGAGTTCTACCTGGAACCAAAAAGGGTTCTCCTATGGACAGCCGAAGAACCCCTTTGGAACCCTTTTTTCTAAGAGTGCAGAAGAGACCTCTTTGACCCCAACACCACTTAGCAATAGGCCAACTGTAAATTCCATGTCATCACAATTTGTTTAACTCTGTAATCCTTTCAGTGCACACACATGCATATGCACTCACACACACACTCACGCATGCATGCACACACACTCTCAGTGACCCTTTCACTGCCTTCCCTTTCGTTGGTTGTGTGAACGTCACAATAGTGTGCTGACAATGACGTGTTGTTCTATGTGAAGGCCTTGTAAGATAGCAGGCGGCACAATACAACCAGTCCACAACGTCATCATGACATTGTCAGAACTTTTAACCCCCAGTCCCCTATGCAGTTAACCCTACATGAGTTGCGGGGGTGGGGAAACACTTCTCTTATCTTATCTCTACACTTATCTCTGACAGATTCCATGATGACACCACAATGGGGGAATTCCACTGGAGAATTACGGCACAGAACACTGGGAATGATGACGTTCCTAAAAACGTTCTGTCCTCAAAGGGTTAAAGTGGCCACAAACCTCATCTTCTCTTATCTCTAGCACGTACAGAGAATACTGTGGAATACTAGTGTGTTATATGTACTGTCGGAGATCATTCCCTAGAGATTACCCAGGCAGGAGGAAGGGGTGATTAGATAACAGTATGCCTGGAGAGATGACTAGATCCCATGGTTTAACAGTACGACAATCTGACTCTGTGCCCTAAATGTGACTGAGAATGAATTAAACAAAATGGCGGGATGGTAATATTTACCCATGGCAAATGCAACACTAGCACAGACAAATATATAGTTTAGTATACTGCTAGAAGAAGCAGCATGTATGCTATAGTACACGCTAAGGAAATTGCATAGTTGGGTGACAGGCTGGTGACAGGTGGGTTAAACCATGTGGAGGGTGAGGATATGGGTGTGGGTTAGGGTTAGATATGTGGTGACAGACTATATTTAAGGCCTAAAACCCATCAGTCTCAATTACCCTTCCCCTCCTCTCCTCACCCAGTTTGTCATTGGAGGTGATGATGTCAGAGGGGGGAGGGCCTGGGTCGATGGCAGCCATGATGCCCAGAGGGTCCAGCTGTGCCACGTGGTGACCCCGAATCTACAGGGGGGCAGGGGGCGGGTTCGAGAGAAGGGAGGGAACAAATTAAAAGATACAAAATAAATGAAACAGCAAAAGAGAGCAGAGGGGAGGAAAGACAAATCAAAAAGAGGTGAAAGACAAAATAAATCAAGAAAGCAAGAGGGAGGGAAAAAGAGAAAAAGAGAACAAATAAACGAAGGGAGAACAGGAAGAAGAAAGAAAGACAATCAATCAGAAAGGTTAACAAACAAGCCGCTTAATCAGAGTTGGCACACACACGGCAGCGAGGCGAGGCAGGCGGGCACACGTTTCTCACCAACTTTCTTCAAGCCCACCATTACTGGGGCCTCATCAAAGTCTACCACACTGATGTCCAGAGGGTCCAGCTTGGCTATGTGGTGCCCCCGCACCTAGACACATACAGGGCAATGACACTCAGTGTGTGTGTGTGTGTGTGTGTGTGTGTGTGTGTTCAGAGGAACATCCTAGACACAGGTGTTACACTCAGTGTGTCAGTGTGTGTGTGTACAGTACCTGGTATGCCCGTACAAGCGACTGTACAGCCAGATGGTCCTCCACTAGCTTCTCCACGTTAGGTTGCACCCCGACCATCGCCTGGGCGTTGGCCAATCCCAGAGCAGCACCACCCAGAGGAGGAGGGCTCTGATAGGCTGCGCCTGGTGGCGCCCCCGCGTTGGCATTCCGGAAGAAAATATCCCACGACTGCAGAGTGAGAGAGGGAGAGAAAGAAATAGAAATAGAGAGAGAGAGAGAGAGAGAGAGAGAGAGAGAAGAGAGAGAGAGAGAGAGAGAGAGAGAGAGAGAGAGAGAGAGAGAGACAAAGAGACAGAGAGACAGAGACAGAGAGACAGAGACAGAGAGAGAGAGACAGAGAGACAAAGAGACAGAGAGAGAGACAGAGAGAGAGAGAGAGACAGAGAGAGAGACAGAGAGAGAGGGAAGAAAGACAGAAGAACAGAAAGAGGGCTTGGTTAGAAAACCATCAATCCAGGTATGCCAGGTATTTACCAATAAATCACATGGTAAAATGGTAATTACATAGTAAAAACCTATGAATTACTTTTGCCTCTTTGGAATTCATTTAAAAACTAGCACCACTACGAGACACCATTTGGTACCAGATAGTTAGCAACTGCATTGCCTAATATTATCTATTGATCTTAGGTTGCCAAGCCACATTGAGCAACGTTAAAGAGCAACTGCCCCTAAAAAACGACTTCTCATTTAGAAAACAGCCTATGTGGCATTGATATGAGTCAGAAACATATATTCTACTGTCAAAATTGACTACAGTGTAAATAGGATACTTTTGGTCAGTCTCATCCAAAACAGGGTTTTGTAAGACTTGTGGTCGTGACCGCATCACAACATAAATGAAGGTTGGGTTTGTTTCAATCCTGCCCACATGCCCACAGCTGGCAGCACACAAGAAATCATCAATTTGGAAATCATCTTTGGATATCCATATTGGGCTAGTTAGGGACCTTAGGTAAATTACACAATATACATGGGACAATATGTTAACATTTCAATAGCTCCAAATTTCAATGAGTTAAAAACCTCAAACTAACTACAAATTGTTGAAATGCACTATCTGACTCCATTTTTGTTCGAAGGCTATAGGTCCAGAATCGTATCCAGTGGGTATAGCCAAGGTTGCGAGCATTGCGTCACCACTCGGAATACTAAGATGCACGTGCCTAGGTTTACCGTTATGCTATTATTAAGAGGCTAAGGAACTAAGTGCTAATATTTTTGCAATCAATGTCCTAGCATTAAATGGTTGAGTTAACCCTTAGCTCAGAGATGCACAGTTAGAGACCGAGCACATGTGCTATGTATATTGTGAATAACATTTACCATTGGACATTTCATCAAATAATAATTCAAGGAATATTACTCAGAAATGTGAGGACTACGGTTCGTATCCATTTATAAATAATCCGATTTATTACAGCTATGAAGTAAGAATACAATTAACAAATGGTACATACCAGAAATCATCACGATGAAAATAATCCAAAATATCCTAAGTCTTTAACAGCATAGAAAACTCACTACTATGACATACAAGCGTATATCAGGAGATCGGTTTACCAATGACTCCATGATCAACATTTAAACCCAGCTTTTATTCTTCCAAGAGCGCCAAATCCCTGTATCTCCTATCACCATTAATTAACATCACTTTGCATGGCTCAAAACATTAAAACAACGCACACATTCTTGGATCTAATTATCACAACTCTTATCTAAATTATACGGGCGCACCCCTGTGTCGCTCCTCTTTGAACTATGCGCTGTCCGACGAACAGAATAACACAGTTTCTCTGTAACAGTACAATTAAATATATCAACATTCATAGCTCTTTATGAACTCTGGAAACAATCCAAACATGACAATTAAATTCACACAGTAACATACATTCTGTCTATTCAGGTTTCATCAGTCTTCACCTCTCCTGTCTTCAGTGACCCTTGGACTTCTGTGGGAATGTCTCTTCATTGAGATTGCCACAGATAAGGTGTTTGACCCCTGTGATAGCCCACAGATGGTCTGTCATTCTACTAATGCTATAAATTATGATTGTCATCACGCTGGGCCTCGGCGCTAGCAAGTCACTAGACGCATCTTCATCACTGGCCTTCATCATTGTTCACATTTGTTCACTGTCTTTCTTTTTCCACTACACATATACAAATATTGAAAGCATTTAAAATATTTACAAAATGTTGTCTCATTTCCCTAACTAGCCCCAGAGTTAGGCTATACGAAGTCAAAACCAACTTTGCCAACGTCGCACACCAGCTAGCTGAAGCTAATTGGCTAAATAATTTAGCTAACTCTCCCACCTGTGAACATACACAAGAGACAACCACATCAAACCACACCCCGAAACCAACTCACGTTTGAATTCAGTCACGGATGCTAGCATTTCTTAATGAACCAAATCTAAAATGAGGCCAAAGGAGGAAGTGCAGTCGCCCTTTAAACTAATTTAGCACAAGGGGAGAAAACAAACACTTAATATTAATTTAGTACATTTCTCTTTTGGATGTGACCCATGCCATATCAGTCACAGTGAGTGCTTTTGAACAGGCTTTGCAATATTTGCAAGTTTTAATCTGACCAAAACGCTGTAATTGAGCCAAAAACTGCTCTACAATATACAAATATTTTGATGTACAATAACATGCAGTTACACGTTTATTCAATACCTTGCCATAACATGAACAATAACATGAACATAGGTAGTGCTCCTACTGAACAGTAGTTTATAGGGCTTGGTTTTTAGGTCAGTAAGCCATGTTAAGCATTGGTTGATCAGATCAGGCATCTGAGAGTGCTTCCAAAGTGGGCCAGGCAGAACTCTTTAGCTGGTTAAATCCTGGGATGCAGTAACACACACCATTTCATAATCAGGGCTCTGGGTTATATAAACTAGAACAAACTGTTAGAACAGCTGTGTCACACACAAAGTCACTCACATAGGATGTATGCAGGCAAGTACGCACACACACAGACACACACACATATAGGCACACACACAGCTATTCAATGATGACGACACAAACAGGCATTGAGTTGGTTCACTGGTGAGGCTTCCAGGCTCTGACTTGGCATATTGAGTAAGACTGGGTCAACCATGCGGTCAATGACACTCACACTCACACTCACACACACACACACACACACACACACACACACACACACACACAGAGAAGTGTGTAACTGTTTCTAACCTGGGAGAAGTCTAATGAGTTTACAGGCTTTAGAGATTAGTCAGTTGTCAGTGGAATACCACAGTATGTATGTGTATGTGCATGTGTGTGTGTGTGTGTGTGTGTGTGTGTGTGTGTGTGTGGGGGGGGGGGGGGGGGGGGGGCTTGTGTGTCCATGCATGCGTATGCGCATCTGCGTATGCCCCTATAGGCCACACAATATTGCAACTCCCCGCACACACACACTATCTCTCACACACACACACACACACACACACACATACACACACACAGACCATCAGCCTCTAAATCAAATCAAATGTTATTGGTCGAGTACACATTTTTACAGATGTTATCACGGGTGTTCCTAGCTCCAACAGTGCAGTAATACCTAACAATACAAAACAATACACGCAAATCCCAAAAAGAAGTCCATTCTATTGACACGACACAATGCCATGAACTAATATTCCTAATCAGAAACCTTCTATTCTAACATCTCACTGGTCTCCTGACACTGAGTATAAATCTAATTAGCATCATAAAGAAATCCCCATACAAATCCATCAGTTTAAGACAGAGAGATCTGTATTTTTGTATTGGATGTGTCTTCCGCATCTGCGGTGAAAGGTGACAGAGCTAGAGTGGTATTTGTCAGACCATGAGACATACCGAAAATCGGTCTTCTCACAAAATCGTCTATAGCGTCCGAACGGTTTGGCCTACTATTATCACGAACTCAATGGTGTTCTCCGTTTTGCTCTGTGACCTCCACAAGCATCTTGGGACTGAAGTCGGTACAGTCTGAAGTTGGTACAGCCAATCTGCCAACTTCTGTCTGTAGTGTCCGAATTGTTTTGGCTACAGACTGTGGAAAGGTGAGACTCTCACAAAAATGTACATGTCGGTTGTTTTTGCTATAGGACCAGGGACGGCCTGTTCAATAGGGCGATATGGGCGACGCACTGCCAAACGGGAAAAGGAAGGGATTTTTTTTCTAATCAATTATATCACGGCAACAGTAGTTATCAGTGTTGTAATCTGATCTGACTGCCACTAAATGTCAAATCAGGCTAAAGTCGTGCTTCAAATGGCCCCGCCCGTTTTTGGGCGATTTCAGTCAGGTTGAAAATCGCCCAGAAGTCTCTCATAGCCTGTCATGTAAAATCTATTTTTTTCAAATTTCAAAGCTTTCAATACATTCTCTATGGGTGTCTGTGGGCTTGCACTTACGCGCTTTCGTCATACGTGACGTAACCATGAACGTAACTAAGCAAATAGCGGCTAGCAGCGTCTCTTTGCGACCTGCAGTGTGGCGTTATTTTATGTTTTTAATTTGTACACTTAGTGGCGTTATTTTATGTTTTTAATTTGTACACTTAGTTTACAAACATTCTGCCAACCATGGATTTCGAGTGGTGGGTTTTGGACTGATCTTGTTGATCGTGTACATACCCGCTACGAACGGACTAAATAATGAAAACGTTGCTGGCAGCGGAATCCAATACAGCTGGGAGACTTGGCTGGATGACAGAGTCCCGGACAGAGAAGTGGAGCCGGCCGGCTTCACCCTGGTCGGAGCGGACCTCGATCTGACAGTCACAGGGAAAATCGATCCTGGTAAGAGAGCGACTCTGTACCCCCGAGCCCCGACATTGAACTGCTTTCTGTGTCACTGTGACCTTACTATCTGCCCCGTGAGTTCCCCCAATTGTTTGTTACCGTTGTGTACTGTTGATAATCACAAGTTTACTGGAGAACTGAGACCAAGTAGAGACTTTGGACAGGGTGGATATGGTATAATAAAGGCAGTTTATTCAGAGGTAAAGATATCTGGAATCGCGTGCACGGACTCGTTCGTCAAACTCTTAGGGAGCTATCTGAAGAGAGCCCCGAAAACATTGTGTGCTGACATTTTATACAATAAATGATGTAGGTTGAATCTAGTAGTTCTGATCTTCTGATTGGTCCTGATGAGTTGGGCGAGGTCCCCTCCACTGTTGCATTGGCTCTGAGTCGGGTTCTCTGTCTTCAAATGTTCAGCCTAAAGAGAGGGGATTTTTGTGTGTGTGTGTGTGTGTGTTTAACAGTGATTATGTGTGTGTGTGTGTGTGTGTGTGTTTAACAGTGATGATGTGTGTGTGTGTGTGTGTTATCAGTGATGATGTGTGTGTGTGTGTGTGTGTGTCCTCAGAGCAAGAACTCGTGAGTTGGAAGAACTGAGAGACCTATGGCGTGGGTGTTGTCCTTGGCCACCTGCTGACAAGGCTGACAAGATAGGACTCTTTTGTCCATTGTTATAGGATAGGAACAGCATTGATTGAAAACAAACGCCCAACACAAAATGGGTCATGCACAAGATTTTAGTCAGACCAAGCTATAACATTATATATTTACTACGACAGTACATTCAACCAAAAGCTAATATAACAAAGGCATCAGAGATTATTTATAATCTGTCACAGAAACTGGAATCCATCTCCCCAGATCAGTCAATAAATGCTTCTGGTATTGACTTATATGCTGCCCCTGTCTTCATGTTGTTGCTGGACATATCTTTTTTAAAATGTGTGTAGGTCACCTAAATCATCAGAAAAATTGCCCCTCCTGAGAATTTTTTCAGGAGCCGCCACTGTATAGGACGCCCACAGGTCTCACAAGACTTGTCTGAAGGTACAGTGGCTTGCGAAAGTATTCACCCCCTTGGCATTTTTCCTATTTTGTTGCCTTACAACCTAGAATTAAAACATTTTTGGGGTTTGTATCATTTGATTTACACAACATGTCTACCACTTTGAAGATGCAAAATAAAACAATTTGTGAAACAAACAAGAAATAAGACCAAAAAAAAGAAAACTTGAGCGTGCATAACTATTCACCCCTCAATACTTTGTAGAGCCACCTTTTGCAGCAATTACAGCTGCAAGTCTCTTGGGGTATGTCTCTATAAGCTTGGCACATCTAGCCACTGGGATTTTTGCCCATTCTTCAAGGCAAAACTGCTCCAGCTCCTTCAAGTTGGATGGGTTATGCTGGTGTACAGCAATCTTTAAGTCATACCACAGATTCTCAATTGGATTGAGGTATGGGTTTTGACTATGCCATTCCAAGACATTTCAATGTTTCCCCTTAAACCACTTGAGTGTTGCTTTAGCAGTATGCTTAAGGTCATTGTCCTGCTGGAAGGTGAACCTCCGTCCCAGTCTCGAATCTCTGGAAGACTGAAACAGTTTTCCCTCAAGAATTTAAGTCCCGTGTAGCTCAGTTGGTAGAGCATGGCGCTTGCAACGCCAGGGTTGTGGGTTCGATTCCCACGGGGGACCAGTATGAAAAGAAAAATGTATGCACTCACTAACTGTAAGTCGCTCTGGATAAGAGCGTCTGCTAAAAAATAAAATAAAATGCATGATACTGCCACCACCCTGCACCCTGGGGAAGCTCAATTTTAGTCTCATCTGACCAGAGTACCTTCTTCCATATGTTTGGGGAGTCTCCCACATGCCTTTTGGCGAACACCAAACCTGTTTGCTTATTTTTTTCTTTAAGCAATGGCTTTTTTCTGCCCATATTCTTTCCATTTTTTTATAATGGATTTAATGGTGCTCCGTGGGATGTTCAAAGTTTCATATATTTTTTTATAACCCAACCCTGATCTGTACTTCTCCACAACTTTGCCTCTGACCTGTTTGGAGAGCTCCTTGGTCTTCACAGTGCCGCTTGCTTGGTGGTGCCCCTTGCTTAGTAGTGTTGCAGACTATTTTGTATGTCCATCTCATGAAATCCAAACAAAAATCCCTTTAAATTACAGGTTGAAATGCAACAAAATAGGAAAAACTCCAAGGGGGATGAATACTTTTGCAAGGCACAGTAGGACAGACACTTCAAAACAAACTTCATTTAGATTTTTTGGGGGACTATCTGTTGTTCCATGTAGTGACTCTGTTATTCAATGCGTTTGTATGGGCTAATAGCATGTATGGGCTAAGACCAGAAATAATTTTTCATCAAATAATTTATTTTATCTATTTTTTGATACTTCAAGGGGTCTTAAAATTCAAAATCAAATAAGCAAAATAATCCTTGATATGACCTTCTTAAAACAATTCCATATAGCTTAGTAGAACCCCTCCTCTGGCTTGGACAGGGCTTAGACTTGTGGGTTAAGGGAATTAAAAGCTATGAAAATGACCCAACATGTCATTCAGTTCGGCTTGGATGCATATTTTATGTGGTTGAAATACTATCAGCGTTTATGATGCTGATAAAGATACAACATTTAAAGGCGGTCCCTAACCGCGCATTCATTCTCTCAAGATGCTGAAAGAAAGAAATCATATTTCTCCCCTCCTGTACATTTGGTGTATCATTTTACTGCAAGAATTGCTTAATTATGCAGGAGTTAATATTATTTTAGGCTATGTGAGAGGTTATAGACCTACATTCAGTGTCCAGATTTCAGTACTATTCCATTTAACCCATCTGAACAGTACAGTTCCCTTGACGTGCCATATGTACTTGTTTCAGGAAACTAGGCATATGTCGCGCATCACTACTCTACAGGTGGGGCATTTGAATGTAAAAAAAAATGTTAAGACACAAAATGTGTTTTTGGGCAGAAATGTCTTCCGGAACATGTTAACTTTTATGTGCCTTAATAACAAACTTGTATGACATCTGTAAATACGAATAAAATTGTTAAATTACGAGCCTAATTGGTTTAGCCATGGAAAAAGACAGGAACCTTCCCGCTAGCCATGATTGGCTGAGATAATGGATGGGCTGGACATGCCGAGAGATGAGTTTGGATTGGTCTGCCATGTAGCTCGCTTCTGTCTATAGCATGAGCTACTCAGTATGTGTAGGTAATCCTTTCTAACACGGCTGTTTTGAAAGATATCACAAAGAACTGCATAAGTGTTGCTAATGCTCTCCACTTTCTGGAGGACCGAGTTTTGAAATCAGTGGAATGCCTGGTGGAAGCAGAGTATGATAGCTAAGGAAATTGAGAAATTCTGGCGTTTGATTGCAAATATGCAGAGGGAGTCTAAAAGAAAACACACAGAAGGCTGTTGTATAAAACACCTGTCTCCGGATTACATCTTCAAACTAAATGCAACCATGGCATCTGTGACAGAGAGGGAGAAGTGTTCATACATGTATACGGGTAAGATAGTCTAGCTAGCTACATTTTCAGATATGATACTTTTCTAATTTTGTCAGAAAGTCATTTTCATTGTACTGTTAGCTAGCTAGCATTTACATAGCTAGTTATAGCCTAATGTTAGCTATCTAGCTAACATTGAACTTAGCTAGTTGGTTAGCTTTAGCTACCAGCAGATTCATGCAGGGTAGTAATGTTATGAGTTAGGATTATGGTTCATTGTTTAGCTAGCTAGCTACATGTCTAAACAAAAGTCTCCACTATGCAAGTAACCATTTTACTGTACCGTTTACACTTTCTGTATCCTGTGCATGTGACAAATAAACTTTGCTTTTATTTGATATAGTGTGTGTTTACCAGAGACGGTAATGTGAAGACAAACATGACCAGCACCAAAGTCAAATCAGGATATAACGCTAGGCCAACGAGACAGTGTCCAAGTTAAAAAATTCTCTGGTAGAACGCCCTGCTTTTATTTCATCACACTCACAACCATTAGCTATTTTCTGTAATTAGCTCGCCATTAACTTGTAAATAATGATCTTGTTGTGAGTTTATTTTCCTGTAATAACAAATACAAATGAGCTAAAGTTAAGATGTTGTCAGCTATATGATATGGTCATTATTTATTTAGTACACTACCGTACTCACTCTGTATAGCACATGGCCTCAAATGTGAATCCTTAAAGAGATGGGTGGGAATAAGGTTTAAGAGTGTGTGAACGATGCTGAATAGGGTGTAGACAAAGAAGAGCTCTCCAGTAGGTGTCCCAAAACATTAAAGGGCCATTTTCTCAAAAGTGGGGTTACAAGTTTATCAACTTTCAAAGCAGAATTACTTTCCCATTGTTCCTCAACTGTAGCGTATGATATACAATTTTCTAGCACTGAGTCTCTACTTTTATCCAATGTAAAAAACACAATTTCAAATTTTGCTACATAAGATCAAATCGAGCCGGTCGGTCACATATTTGAAGACCCCGTCTTGTGACTCAAACTTGTATAGCGCCGAACAATCACCACATATAACATCTTTCCCAAACAGGCAACTGTTCTGGCCCTCCCTTCTCTTTATTTTCAACTCTCCATTTTGCAGATTTTCTCTTATGGAATTAAACTCCGACATTGTCCTTTTTGCCTCAGTGGATCGAAGTTGACTTTTTCTGTCCAAGCTCCCAAAAGCATTCGACAATTGCTGTGTATTTGGCGAGCGTACAGTTAGGCCCTAAAGCTTAGGCTTACGCAACAACGGCAGATAAAAATAATGAAAGAAAAACCTCAATGTAGCCTATAGATATAACTTGCACAAGAATGATACATTTATGGATTTTTAATGCACTGTTTTCTCTTTATTCAAACCGCCCGCCACCCACCAGCCCTCCATCCACACAATATTTCATGACCCTAAACCTGCTCGGCCCGCGGATATAACTGCAGGTTCTGTGGGTTATGAGTCAACCCGCGCATCACTAGTGGCAGTCAGTGCCATTTTTTTTCATGAGCATGGCCTTATTTCTATTACAGCATATTGGATGACTGTCATTTATATTCCATTCACCCAGTTCAATGTAACAGCGATAGGTTTAGGCTACTACATGATACTCAAATTTTCCCTATACCCATCACGAGGTTGCTACAACCTAGCCTATGAATGAACGTTTACAACGTAGGAGCACACAGGTCGAGAGAAACATTTGACGTGACAGACAGTGACACATGGACAGACAGTGACACATTCAATATCGCCTTGCACACTCTTGCCCGCATCTAGCTGATCTAGGGTGTAATCATTAGTCCAACAGTTGCAAACGAGAGTTTCTATTGGACAAATTCAGTTATTTTTATCCCCGTTTCATTTGCTTCCGTTTAAGAAACGTTTTTCAACAGAATCGGCAGAATGAATACACCCCTGATCACGCGTAAACACCACGTTGTATTCCTTCTAGCCTCTATGCACTCTCCTCCTCTCACCTTTTCCCTTCCTTTGTGGACTTCAATGTACAACACATCAGCTGTATGTGACCAGGCGAAAAAACCTTTCCAAGCCAAACCATGTCATAATCGCTACACACAGCCTACATCATTGTCTCCATATTAGCTAAAGTAACGTCCTAGTCAACATAGCTAATAGAACTAATGCATTAGTAAACCTTCTACAATCATGCAGTAACGTAACAGCGCACAGTCACGAAGCAGTTACACCAGTGGGACCCGGTGGCAATAAATTAATAAAACCAAAAGCTTACCTTGACTTGGAAGAGTTCCAGTGTTGTGTTGGATAGTCATAGCTAAGTGTTTGAGTAGGCTAAACTAGCCAGCTGCATTTGCTAGCTAAGTAAGTGAAACTTGCTTCTCCTTCATTTTTGAAGAAATTAATTTGTTGAAAACTGTTCAACTATTGTCTTTCTCTCTCTTTGAGTCAACTACTCACCACATTATATGCACTGCAGTGCTAGCTAGCTGTGGCTTATGCATTCAGTACTAAATTCATTCTCTGATCCTTTGATTGGGTGGACAACATGTCAATTCATGCTGCAAGAGCTCTGATAGGTTGGAGGACGTCCTCCGGAAGTTGTCATAATTACTGTGTAAGTCTATGGAAGGGGGTGAGAACCAAGAGCCTCCTAGGTTTTGTATTGAAGTCAATGTACCAAGCGGAGGACGGAAGCTAGCTGTCCTCCGGCTACACCATGGTGCTACCCTACATAGTGCTGTTGAGGCTACTGTAGACCTTCATTGCAAAACAGTGTGTTTTAATAAATTATTTGGTGAAATGTGAATATATTTAGTATAGTTTTATCTAAAAAGGATAACCTTTTTAATGTTTTTCAATTTCAATTTTTATGAAATTCACTGAGGAGGACGGTCCTCCCCTTCCTCCTCTGAGGATCCTCCACTGGTATGCGCCCATGTGTGTTTGCCCTGACCAAAGGTTATTGATTGTGCAGGTGTTTGCATAATTCTTGTCCCACTGCGTTCTGAACATAAAGAACCCATAGTACTGGGAAGCAGCTCCACGCGCACACACACACTCTCTCACACACACACACACACACACACACACACACACACACACACACACACACACACACACACACACACACACACACACTCCTACCTTGTGTACACTCCTAGGGTTCTTCAGCCATGCGTAGTACATCTCTTCCACATAATTAGAACTGGTCCCATTCAGAAAAGGCTCGGCCGACACTGACGCAGTGTAACTCCTTATTGGCTGAAACGTCCTCAAAGCCCCTCCCACTGCCGCCGACCTGGCTTGTGATTGGCTCTTGGCTGTCTGGGTGGCCGTGATAGGCCCTAGCCTAACAACCGTAGTCCTTAAGCGGTGCATGGTAGCCTATCAGCAGTGGCTCCTTTCGCTAAACCAGGAAGTAGATCAATAACACCTGTCGCCAGGAAACGCCAGGATTAGGAGGAAGTTATCCTCTAGATGCTGATTTTAGTTCAGTTGTGTGCTTCCCTCCTATGATTAAGATTAAGATTGGAGGAGGGGCAGCTGATCCTGGATCTGGGGCCTACAGGAAACTTCTCCCAGGAGCATGGGACACACAAAGTACAGGGTGTCCTCTGTACGGCTTCTCTTCCTCTGCTTCCGGCCTCTTCTTTCTTTTACTCTCTGTCGTTGTCTCAGGGGGGTTTTGGTCCAGTCCTGTAAATCGTTATTTCCTCTGGCTGTGTAGAGAGAGATTACATAATCAGACAGACACACAGGCATACTTCCCAGTTCCCACTGACCCAGCCTGTGCTGTGTGCACATGTAACACATTTATGACATGGGCTGGATTATATATCATTATTTATGTATTTAGACCTGGCTGCCTAAATGGCAAATAAGAGTCTGCTAAAAAAAACACCTTAGTCACATTCACATTTACAGTCACACACTCCTCCACGTACACACACACACACAGACACAATAATAGTACCACAAGTAGGCCTACACACACACACACACACACACACTGACCACCCCCCCACCCACACACATTGTTTCAATATTGAAATTCGATCTCCAGCTTTCCCATAGTAACTTTCCCATAGTAATGAACATGTCGGGAGTCGGGACGAGCCAGACAGGCAGGCAGTTTTTCTGCCGAAATCATAATTCAGCATAATTTGTATTGATATATACAAAGAAATGTAAATACAAAAACAGGTGAAACGAAACAAAATGCAGCTACTTTGCCGTCTTTCCAGGTTCAGTTTGAAGTGATTGTGTTGCTGTGTAGATGGCAAGCTGAGTGTCTGAGTGAGAGTGCACTTTTCTATGCCAGGCGCAATCGTGCATCATTAGCTAATTTTTATGGATGTCTCCAAATAAATCTCACTAGAGAAAAGCGTAGCCCTTTCCTGCAGTCAAATGACCTAGTGGCGTCATGGGTGGAATGTTATTAATATTTTCATAATTTCATAATTAATAAATCCCGCTGAAAATCCAGTGTTTCTATGTCAAATGGTTTTGTTATATTTCAGTCTTCTGTGATGTATTTAAAGTGTAATATTGGGATGCAACCTCAAAATTGAATACATTTTAACTCTATATCTGACATGGTACAGGTGTCTTCTTTTTTAAATCCCATAACCATGTATGTGAGGTGTATACTTTTGCTTCAGAGTAGATGTGTTTAAGACTACCAAGGAACACTCTGTGTGACCCTGATTTAGCCCACTGCAGTAAAAGGTTAACCAAACTCAAATGCAGCTACTTTGCTGTTATTCTGGCTGCACTGTTTGACGTGACTGTGTTAGCCGAAGTTGGCTAGCTAGCAAGCAAGGGATAAGGGCTGGAAACTGAACATTTAGAACGAACGACTGGGTCGCGTCCAAAGATATAGAACAAAAAAACTTCACGACTGGGTTGCGTCTCTGGCAACCTAACCGATAGAATGAATGACCAGCCGGCTTGGTTAGCAACCCTAGATTTGTGTTGGGACTATATCTAGTGGAAGGATGAACTAGTATGAATACATATATCCAAATAAAGTTTTTAATTAAAATATGTCAATCATTATTTGAATATGTTGGTAACCCATAGTATAGTAATAATGCCCTCGAAGCCTGTGGTTGGAGGATATATTGGTATGGGTGTTGGTATGGCTTCTCAGGCATTATCACTTAAGCATTGACGATAAATCATAATCAGCAACAAAAAAAAATGGAGCTAGCGAACTAGCAGATTTACGTCAATCATCAATGAGAATCACTAAAATCACGCCACTTCGATACAGCTACTACTGTCTGTGACTTTTCGCACAGGTTAGGAGAGAATGTTTGCTAACCCCTTTCCTAACCTTAACCTAATTCTGGTACGATAATTCTCCTAAACTGCTGCGTAAATTCTAATCTGCTACAAAAAAGTAAATTCTGGTCGTAGCTGTATCGAAGTGGTGTGTTTTTAGAGAGTCTCAATCATCAAAGATCAGCTGATAGTCCATCCTCTTTTCCCGATGTCAATCATGTCTCCTAAGGTATAAGGGCCCGGGGCTGTGTTTCTACTAAGCAAACATATGGAATTGTTTTAAGATGGTCATACCAAGGATCATTTAGCTATTTGATTTTGACCCCTGTAAGTATCCCAAAAATATATTTATTTATTTTTTGGCCCCCTGAAAGGTCTGTGCACGGCCCTGGAGCCCATAAATTCTGTGCTAAACTGTGTAGAGCCAGCTGGTAGCGTGTCAAAACACATGCAGTGGTGTGTAGTCATGGATGCCAAGGGAAGCCAGGCTTCCCCAAATATTTGACCAATCAAAAAATATATATATATACAGTGGGGAGAACAAGTATTTGATACACTGCCGATTTTGCAGGTTTTCCTACTTACAAAGCATGTAGAGGTCTGTAATTTTTATCATAGGTACACTTCAACCGTGTGAGACGGAATCTAAAACAAAAATCCAGAAAATCACATTGTATGATTTTTAAGTAATGAATTTGCATTTTATTGCATGACATAAGTATTTGATACATCAGAAAAGCTGAACTTAATATTTGGTACAGAAACCTTTGTTTGCAATTACAGAGATCATACGTTTCCTGTAGGTCTTGACCAGGTTTGCACACACTGCAGCAGGGATTTTGGCCCACTCCTCCATACAGACCTTCTCCAGATCCTTCAGGTTTCGGGGCTGTCGCTGGACAATACGGACTTTCAGCTCCCTCCAAAGATTTTCTATTGGGTTCAGGTCTGGAGACTGGCTAGGCCACTCCAGGACCTTGAGATGCTTCTTACGGAGCCACTCCTTAGTTGCCCTGGCTGTGTGTTTCGGGTCGTTGTCATGCTGGAGGACCCAGCCACGACCCATCTTCAATGCTCTTACTGAGGGAAGGAGGTTGTTGGCCCAGATCTCGCGATACATGGCCCCATCCATCCTCCCCTCAATACGGTGCAGTCGTCCTGTCCCCTTTGCAGAAAAGCATCCCCAAAGAATGATGTTTCCACCTCCATGCTTCACGGTTGGGACGGTGGCTAGCTTTGCACTTGGCTAGCTAATAGTAGCTGCTAGGGGTAAGTCATAACCTACACTTGTGTTTTGTTTTTTACATATTGATAGCCCGAGTCGCTCAAGGAATTCGGGACATGGGTGACTAGCTAACGTTAGTTTGGCTCTCTCTGTGTGTTCGTGCCGTGTGTTATGACGAGGTGCCCGGACGTTTTTCACGGAATAATACTGCACCTAGTTAGCTAGCTGAATAAACTAGGTTAGTCTATTCCTAGAAAACATTGAACCGCTGTAGTTTACAACAATTATAGTTTCTGAGGTGGAAGTTGGGAGAGTTATATTTGGGAGTTGTGGCTCTCTCCTTTCCCAGATGTTTAGTTCATTTTATTCCGATCTCCTCTGCATTATTGTAGCCATCTGCTGCAGCCTGTCAACTATGCCTCTGCCTATCCCTGTTCTCTCCTCTCCGCACAGGCTACACAAACGCCTCACACCGCGTGGCTGCTGCCTCTCTAACCTGGTGGTCCCTGCACGCACGACCCATGTGGAGTTCCAGGTCTCAGGCAGCCTCTGGAACTGCCGTTCTGCTGCCAACAAGGCAGACTTCATCCCAGCCTATGCTACCCTCCAGTCCCTCGACTTCTTGGCGCTGACGGAAACATGGATTACCACTGAAAACATTGCTACTCCTGCTGCTCTCTCCTCGTCTGACCATGTGTTCTCGCATACCCCGAGAGCATCTGGTCAGCGGGGTGGTGGCACAGGAATCCTCATCTCTCCCAAGTGGACATTCTCAATTTTTCCCCTTACCCATCTGTCTATCTCCTCATTTGAATTCCATGCTGTCACAGTCACTAGCCCATTTAAGCTTAATATCCTTGTCATCTATCGCCCTCCAGGTTCCCTTGGAGAGTTCATCAATGAGCTTGACACCTTGATAAGTTCCTTTCCTGAGGATGGCTCACCCCTCACAGTTCTGGGGGATTTCAACCTCCCTACGTCTACATTTGACTCATTTCTCTCTGCCTCCTTCTTTCCACTCCTCTCCTCTTTTGACCTCACCCTCTCACCATCCCCCCCTACTCACAAGGCAGGCAATACGCTTGACCTCATCTTTACTAGATGCTGTTCTTCTACTAATCTCACTGCAACTCCCCTCCAAGTCTCCGACCACTACTTTGTATCCTTTTCTCTCTCCCTCTCCTCCAACACTACTCACTCTGCCCCTACACAGATGGTAATGCGCCGTCGCAACCTTCGCTCTCTCTCTCCCGCTACTCTCTCCTCTTCCATCCTATCATCTCTTCCCTCTGCTCAATCCTTCTCCCTCCAATCTCCTGATTCTGCCTCCTCAACCCTCCTCTCCTCCCTTTCTGCATCCTTTGACTCTCTATGTCCCCTATCCCCCCCGGCCGGCTCGGTCCTCCCCTCCAGCTTCGTGGCTTGATGACTCATTGCGAGCTCACAGAACAGAGCTCCGGGCAGCTGAGCGGAAATGGAAGAAAACTAGACTCCCTGCAGACCTGGCATCTTTTCACTCCCTCCTCTCTACATTTTCTTCATCTGTTTCTGCTGCTAAGGCCACTTTCTACCACTCTAAATTCCAAGCATCCGCCTCTAACCCTAGGAAGCTCTTTGCCACATTCTCCTCCCTGCTGAATCCCCCCCCCCCCCCCCCCCCCCCCCCCCCCCCCCCCCTCCCTCCCTCCCTCCCTCTCTGTGGATGACTTCGTCAACCATTTTGAAAAGAAGGTTGACGACATCCGATCCTCGTTTGTTAAGTCAAATGACACTGCTGGTCCTGCTCACACTGCCCTACCCTATGCTTTGACTTCTTTCTCCCCTCTCTCTCCAGATAAAATCTTGCGACTTGTGACGGCAGGCCGCC